TCACCATTGTCTTTCTGTTGTTTCAGAAAATCACATTCCCAGAGGGTCACCACTTGGCCGATATCAGGATGTTGACGTAACACACCCAGTCGGTACATCGTATGATGGTATTGTTCCCAAGGTGCTGTACCCAAGCTAGCATGGTGTTCACATCGGCCCGTCTTGTAACAGTGAGTACATCCATGCCAGAAACAGCCCAAGTATTCATACACGGTGCGTGTCTTGGCGTCGTAGCCATCCATAGTGACTGCCATCAGCACAGTCAAAGCCTACTTCTCCACCAATACGAGCATGTTGGTTGTGGACACCAAGGTGTTGATGCATGACCCAGTTGAGCCAGTGGAGACACTGAAGAGAGTAGCGACGCTGGGGGCGATAACCTTGAGTAGGTATGATGGCGATGGTGCGGGTTCCAAAAACTGTTTTCGGAAGGTGTGCATGCAAGCCATGGGTAGAGTCACCGCTTCATAGAAAGGGTCCACGTTGTTCTGTTGGATGAATATGTTGCGGAATGCAGCACAGCCTCGACGCAAAATGTCCACATCACTCTGACAGTAGGTCAACAATTCTTCATCCAGATCAAAGACAGCCCCTTCAGCCACCCGCGCATTGTACCAGGCCAAGAAAGCTTTACGTTCAGCAGGAAACATGCTGTAAGGATCGTAGGTAGAAACAGGAGGATAAAGACCCACATAGCCTTGGTGAGCTTCGGTGTTGAAGAAGTGAGGGAAGTAGCCTTCTTGAGTTCCGTCAACGCAAACGTTTTTGGAAACTGCTTCAGAGCCATCGTGAGGAAATTGAGTGAATCTTTGAAAACAAGGCGTCCCACGGTCATCTGCAAGATGTGTCGCCCACGTAGTGTGACCTGGGGTGCTTTCACTAGATGTTGATGGAAGTACTGTTGGAGCAAGTGTCCATCATACCCTCGGTAGTTGTGAGCAATGACCAAAACGTCGTCATCATCAATGGTAGGGGAAATATCGTCTTCATCGTCTTGTTCTTCGTCGTCTTCTTGTTCCACATCATCATTGGATTCTAGTGATGGCGGTTTGGGTTGTTTCGAGGCACAGCCAGACGGCTGCTGGTGGGGTGCCTTACGTTTCTTCTTCTTCTGTTTCTTTTCTGCCAGTGCCATCAGCCAGTCGCCCATGTCATTCAAGGTCGTAGATCCCCAAAACACTTTGATGCGGCTAGGGCCTTCTCCTTCCTTACCCCAGGGGGCACTTTTCACACAGTTGATCCGAAGCCTCAGAAATACATTTTCCACATCCCAGATGCGCCACACACAAGTTGGGAACATGAGTCCCTTGATCTTGGGTACATTCAGAGTCATAGAAGACAAACTGACGCTGTTGTCGTTCTTTGTCTTCATCCTTGTTTTCGCCCTCTTCATCTTGTGTGGGTGGTTTGATGACAGACATGTAGCACTGGTGGTTGGGTTCCATGGGTTCTTTGCAGATCTTGCAGTCGTGATTCGTGCTGCACAGATGGTTGGCCATGCCCTCGATTTTTCTCACGTTGAGTTTGGCCAGACATTGATGACACTGGTGGTGTTGGTGGTGGAGCAGGTGCTGGGATGATTGGCGGAGGCCGTCAGATGCCATTGAAAGCAGGTAGAGTTTCGGAACCACCTGCCATATTGGAGACAGGAGAGTCCTTCATTGTCCACGTTGCCACAGTATCCAGGACATTGGCACCAGTAACATTGAAATTCTCGGGTGCAGCGATGATCCTGAGCGTGGTCGTATCCCTGGTCACAGATTTCACAATAGTAGTAGATACAATGATTGTCCGAGACCAAGTCCAACAAAAGCCTCTGTAAAGCTTTATTTCACAAATAAAGCTTTTGTCAGGCCCTTAGATCTCGCCCCAATTGTATATTCTACTTTTGAACCCCCAGTTAACTTCCCGACCCCACGTGACACAATAGTGTCACTTTGACCGCGAACTAGCACTTTCCTGATCACATGGCACTATTGTGATTACCCTATGTCGTGTTGACAGGAAACAGTTGGTTACAGGATACTATTGGGATTACTTGGTAAGTGTTAAATATTTTGCTTGGGGGGTAACATTGTGCCGTACGGTATGACTAATAATTCCTCTTTAACAAAACCTCTCCCTGGCCCATCTCTCAAGTAGTACAAGTTCGGCTCGTCGGCTTTGATGTCCACTTTATCTATGTTGTAAGTTTTGACTGACCATATCGGATCGGTGGCTCGTTTCCGAGTGTCCCCTTCGTGTTCCCCCGGCTGGTAGAGGTACCTCACTAGGGCCCTATCTGGTATCTGTTTCTCCTTCCCACGCGATGGTGCAGCCGACTCAGCCACTATTGATTTTAGTTTGATAGCGTCAGCTGGTTTCTTGCCGGTGAGACGGGTGATTTCGTGGTTGATGGCCGACACCACCTGAGGTAGCCACGCTACCCATTCAGTCGATTGTTTCCCCGGGTTGGCCATCTCTCTCGCATACTCATGCCCGAATAAGAGCTCAGCCAAAGTCCTATTGAATCTCTCAACTATGGCTTGGCTGCGATGAGCCCCGGCTGTGCCACGCCTGACCTTGGTATCATGTTTGTCTAGCAGGTGTGACACGGCACCCATGAACTCCCGCCCGGGGTCGACTTGCAGCTCTGTGGGCCACGTCAGCAGACTGCGTTTGTACATGCGTTCGAATCCGCGGGCTACCTAGGCCGAGTCTTTCGCGGTCAAGGGTTCGGCTTCCTTGTAGCGACTGGCCACATCCACGACGGTTAGGGCATACTTGTACCTCTTCACTACAAAAATGACTTGGTTTCCTGAAATCTGGAAACCATCCGTATACTGGGTAAATGGGGAATCCAGTTGGTTTCCATTCACTGAAACTGAGTAACTGAGTTTCCAACTAGATTCCAAGCCTTCTTGGTAATCTGGATTGTTATCCCCTCGTTGCCGTTGTCGGTAGATGGCTTGCCGGCAGGCAAATCAATAGATGGCTTGCACGAATCTCCCATTCTCTATATTAAGTTGCGCGTTCATAATCACGTACAGATATAATTTCAACTTGCCCGAGGGTTGAGCCTTCTTTGTAATCTGGATTGTTATCCCCTCGCTGCCGTTGTCGATGCGGCAAACTGCTGCCATGCAATTTATCGTCATCCGTGGATCGCATGTCCAACCATAGCGCGTACTTGGTGGTCAGGTATTCACCGATCTGCACAGAGGATAGGTCCAGGTCCTTGATGATGTGTTGGTGCCGGGTCGGTAGTTTCATTATCTCATCCCACTGCTGGTGCGCCCTCATACCGGCGCGCTGAACAGCTGGTTGGGCACGCCCTCAGTGGTCACTTCCACCTTTTCAATCTCGGGGTTGAAAAACTTCTCGCTGTCCCTTCGGAACGGCTCGTAATCCTCCACAGGGACGATCAGGATACCTTTCATCGATCGCGCCGACACGTTTAGGTTGATGTTCCCCAGCGAGTCGCTCTTGTCCCGATTGATTGCTCTATGCCTCAGGACCCTATCGTACAGGATGGCCACCTTCCCCGAGTACTAGTTTCGAACCTGCATTGCCAGCTCCGGGCTAGTGACCATGTCGAACTCCAGATAGATGTTGTTGATGGTGTAACTGGCTTCATCACCGTTCGGCGTACACTCTACTTTGCCTCATCCCATGCTTGAACCACACACTTCTCTAGCAATGCCATCGTCCCCTCACCACCCTCCCTCCCTCTCCTTCCCTCTCCTTTCCTCCCTCTCCTTCCCATCCGCCGCTCGTCCGTCCGCCATCTTGAAATGCGTCTACGCTCGCGAGATCCCGCGAGATTCCACGAGATCCCGCGAGATCTCACGTAATCCCACCGGATGCGCCGCCATCTTGAAACGCGTCCGCCATCTTGGCCGCCATCTTGAAACGCGTCCGCCATCTTGGCCCGAAGATGACGTCATCGTCATGCGCGCGCACACACCTGAACCCGTCGTGACGACATCGCGATGCGTGCGCACACACCGGAACCGGAACCCCGAGTTACCTCCCCCTGACCGGATGTGCCGCCATCTTGAAAATCCCGCCAGGGTAACGTTGTTCACTACTCTAAGGGGATAAACCTTTTGTGTTTACGGAATTATAATAGCTCTAAATTTAATTTAAAACCGAATGTGGTGGCGGTGGGGTAGATTAATGGTTAAAGCGGCCGCTGGTCACACCGAAGATCCAGGTTCGATTCCCCACATGGGTAAAATGTGTGACGCCAATTTTCTATGTCCAACGTCATGATATTGCTTGAATATTGCTAAAAGCGGCGTGAAGCCATACGCACCCACTCACTAAAACCGAACGCGTTTTAAATTTATTACCTCAAATTTTTTAAAAAGTAGACCACCCGATCCGTTTAGTCGAACATAGAAACGCAGCGGGTTCGATTCCCCACATGGGTACAATGTGTGAAGCCCATTCCTGGTGTCCCCAGCAGTGGTATTGCGGGAGTATTGTTAAAAGCGGCGTTAAACCATACTCACTCACTCACTGAAATCGGGACAGTTTAATTTGGTACCACTTCAGGGCCATTCGTCACCACTCGCCCCTTTCCGTAACCTCGCGATTCGGCGTGTACCGGAATAACACGAGTTGGTCACGAATGGGTTTCGTCGTGATTCAACAATTAATTTTCCAGATTTCAACATGTATAATAGGAAAAAGCAAGACAAAAACGCATTAGTCATGTTCACACTTTTATGATAGGTGCACAGTAAAAAACCCGAGAAACTTCTCGCGACAACAGAACATGGAAACAAGAAGATTCCCTAACTCCAAATATGCACGGCCATACAAAATGTTGGAACATGGGTTACGTATTATTGTACTCATTTTGTGCTTTGTGCTCAGTTTAGAGTAAGCAAACAAGCGTGTTTTGAATTCGTTTCAGGTAAACTTGACTTTCCCCAGGTAAGTTTCCATATTACCACCGCAAAAGCACCCTCGGGAAAACCCAATACTGATAGAGTATTTATAGTAACGCGTCATAGGTAATGTCACGTGATACGGAAGGGAATTCCCCGAATAGACGATTCGGGAAGCCTTGGAGTTGAGGGTCGCCCGCTTCACATGGAGACAGTGGGATAGATCTGTATTGTCAACATCTCAGCTGTACCTCTACCGAATGTAAGTTAATTTCAACACATATTTAATTGCATGGCTTTGTTGTTGCGCAGACAACACTTTCAAACACGGTCAGATTGAACTCAAGCTGAAGTCGGTTTCGCCATTTTGTCAACGCGCACTTGTAACTGAACCTAACTCACATCCTCCTGAAGCAAAAATTAATGTTGTTTGTTATCTACATGTACGGCTGCAAGTACAAATATTTACGCTGATTGACCATGGGTTGCTGAACACCAATTCTTACCCGGGTGTTCACGGGTTGACGACATGTACAGTGCGTTATGATCTGGCGAGCCTCAGATTGGGGAAACTGCCTGTACAGTACAGATCAATAAAACTACGTGGCATTATAGAAATTTGTTTCAGGCAAACGTGCACAATATTGCAAAATAACTGCAACTGAAAATGGTTTGGCCGTGATTCTGTTCCCAAATGGGGCAGTTGGGTAGCCTAGTGGTTACGCCAATCGCTTGTCACGCCATCGGCTCGGGTTCGATTCCACACATGGGTACAGTGTGTGAAGCCTATGTCCGGTGTCCTCCACCATGTTATTGCTGGAATATTGCTGCGCCTCATGAAATACGGAATTTACAAGGGTCGTACAGTCATGTACACCCTTTCAAAACACTGACGAATTTATGACCTAAAACAACATTCAATCTTCAGCAGAATAAGACGCAAAACGTTTCGCGATGATATTTACCAAGGGTCATAAAGGGAGATAACTTGTGATGTCTTTTAGTTTATGATAAAAATGATCGAATATAGGTTTTGATAAACGGCAAGTGAAATTCACTCAAACAAATAAGAAATAATGGCAAACAGTTTATTACTCTGTTTATACTCATAATTATGTATGCCAACTCTAAATTTCGAAGCAGTCAGCTTTTTGGCAGCTACATTCCATCTAAGGTCAAGGTCATTTGTACAACGAGTGTGGTGTGTCACATGACAGATTTGACGGATGTACGGTTTGTACACCCTGGCAAATCTGCCTTTGCTTTAATAGATGTATGCTTTGGCTTTTGACCAATCAGAATTCGACAAATTTATCTTTAGAGCAATAATATGGTGTGTCACTTGCTTCATGGCGCTGTCAGCATCTGCATCAAAACATTGCATCTATTGCAAAAAAGATGTTGTCAATCCATAGAATATGTTATTCTTGATGTATATTTTTTCTGTTGTGTTTTGTCAGATCATGGGGAAGGAAGACAAACGTCCCTGCCCTCACTGTAACCCCCCACGTGTATTCGTTCAAACAATAAACTACACAAATGACATTCATATTCTCCAAGTGCCTCCGAATCACGTCCTTCGGATAAACACCATGGTCCATATATACGAGGCAAACGAGCCCCGCCCAGTTCAACCTGACCCCCCTCCAGGGGTGAAGGTCAGAGTGGAGTCCACTGAGATATCGTCCAGCAGTGACCAGGTGGTAGTGAGGCACCATGTGTGGATAGAAGAGGTTCCACTCAATACATCCACAGTTGATGTGCATCTTTATGTGAAGAAGAGGATTCCTGATAGCATGGGTACCCTCATTTCTGTTCTTGAGGATGGACCAGTGAGGGAGGACCCTCGTATTGGACTGAAGGATTTGATGGAAGGTATGTGAGCTGTTATGTCTTCATATCAAGAGCAGTGGGGTATCCTAGTGGTTAAAGCGTTCGCTCATCACCCAGGTTCCATTCCCCGCATGGGTACAATGTGTGAGCCCATTTCTGGTGTCTCCTGCCGTCGATATTGCCTGAATATTGCTAAAAGTTTCGTAAAACCATACTCACTCACTCACTCACATCAAGATAGATGGTTTTGCATGGTTGACCAGATGTAAAAAAAATTTGAAAAATATTATGTTTTTTATGATGTATTCACAGAATTGTTGCTGCTTATAATTATATAGTGAGAGTCAAATGGAATGAAGAATTTAATCTGCTTCAGTAATGGTAACTACCCCTCCTGTAATGTACAATCAAAGTTCCACAATTTCCATTTTCTATTATCTCCGCTTAATCACCAGAATTTGTTACAAGTAAGGATTTCATGCCACTTTTAGCAATATTCCAGCATATCACGGTAGGGGACACCAGAAATGGGCTGCACACATTATATCCATGTGGGGAATCGAACCCGGCCCTTCTGCCCAACGAGTGACCGCTTTAACCACTAGGCTATCCCACCGCCCCTTCAAGGAGAGACGATGTAATAGAAGGAAAAGGCTTTAATATTTATTTAGCACCCAGGGTTTTAGCAGAAGTGCATTGTTATAAATATGACGTCAATATAACCTACATGTCAACTCGGTCTCTATGGTGAGGCTGGTTCAACCCCACAGCCTGAAAAACTATTTCTTTTTCGTGGCGAATGAATTCTTCTATATTTCCTACAGCCTGAAGCTGAAAAATATTTTTTGGGGAAAATTCCCAGGCCACCTCTAATATGAAATGGTCAGTCCCTCAAACAGATTTGATAATTCCTTGGGTTAATAATAATTTATACCATAACTCAAATCTTTGAAGGGCATTTAGAAGTGGAATGCATAAGAAAAGCAAGATTTAGGGATGTCAACATCTTTCTTGTGAATAACACAACATCTCAGAGTGTATGCTTGCTCCTTCATCATCCATAAATTTTGCTTTTCCTAATACCATAACTGTGGTATAGAAATTCACAAACTACTTCTGTCAGCCTAAGTGTGGTCTGTGTTGCTTATAAGGTAGGAATGTGTGTCTGTTGTGTTGTGTTGTGTTGTGTGTTGTGTTGTGTTGTGTTGTGTTGTGTTTGTGTGTGTTGTTCTGTGTTGCGTTGTGTTGTGTATGTTTTGCGTGTGTGTTTAGTTTTACGCCGCACTCAGCAATATTCCAGCTATATGGGGGAGGTCTGTAAATAATCAAGTCTGGACCAGACAATCCAGTGATCAATAGCCCCCATAAGGTTCACTGAATGAGTTAGTGAGGTTTTAGCAATATTCAAGCAATATCATAGCAGGTAATCTCAAATGGGCTTCACATATTGTATCCATGTGGGGAATCAAACACAGGTCTACTGAGTGAAGAGCGAATGCTTTAACCACTAGGCTATGCCACCACCTGATACGTTTTAGTGTAAGTTAAACTACTTTTGTAGGTTTACATGACAATAAAGTATTATGAAAAAACACAAAGATATATTGATCAGCTTAAAATAAGGATTTAATGCTTATGATTTAATTTGAAGGATTGTATGATCGACTCTTGGCCCAACCAGAAGTGCTGAGGCCGCATTATTTGTGTTATTGTACAAGGGACCTAAATGTAATGTCAGTTTAGTTGCACATTGTATTTTGTACTTCTGGAATATTAAAGTATACAAATATGGCTAACAAAGGTGAAAATGAGAGATTTTGATGACTCTGAGGGTAAATAGTCAAAATGATTTTTCTGTCATACATTCATTTTTGTTCTTTCTGTTTTGTCCTTATCTCGGAAAATCAGAGCCTGTGATGCCAGTGTGCGAAGTGTGTGAGTGAGAGCATGTGTGAGATGTCACAGTGAGTTCACTACCGCCATACACAGATGTAAAGTTTCTGAAAGATATGTGATGAGAGGGTGTATAGTATAATGTCACTGGTATGTATTGCTCACATAATCTTGATCTAATGCTAGGAGAGTACATCTTCCCGGGTTTTAAACACTTATGAATACTGACCCAAGGGACTTAATCTCACTCCATGAGAAAAAAAGTGATTAGTGAGGACAGACAACCACGAAATCCAAACACACACACCTGCAAGTGAAATGCAATATACAACCACACACCACACACCTTTCCCACCACTCACACCACACCTCCCCCCACAAACACAACACACCTTACTGCACCACACACACACACACACACACACACACACACACACACACACACACCACACACACACACACACACACACATTACACACACACACCTGGACACCCACACCACATTACACCACCACACCATACACCACACCCACACCACACCACACCACACCACACCACACACACCACACCTACACACCCACACCACACCACACCACACCCACACCTATACCATACCACACACCTGGACACACCCACCACACCACACATACACTACACCTTCACTACACCACACCACAACACACCCACACCACACGTACACCACACCCTCACTACACCACACCACACCACACATACACTACACCCTCACTACACCACACCACACCAGCACCCACAACACAACACACCCACACCACACGCACACCACACCTTCACTACATCACATCCACACCACACGTACACCACACCTCACTACACCACACCACACCAGCACCCACAACACAACACACCCACACCACACCACACGTGCACTACACCACACCTTCACTACATCACATCCACACCACACGCACACCACACACCCTCACTACACACCACACCACACCAGCACCCACAACACAACACACTCCACACCACACCACACGCATAATTCACACCTTTCACTACATCACATCCACACCACACACGCATACACACCCTCACTACACCACATCACACCAGCACCCACAACACAACACACCCACACCACACCACACGCATACCACACCCTCACACTACATCACACCACACCACACGCACACACACACCTACAACACGCTACACCAACTACACACATCACAAACAACACCCACACCACACGCATAATTACACCACACCACACCACACATACACCACATTACACCCACACACCTCACTACACCACACCACACCACACCCTCTCACCACACCACATCACAACACACCCACCACCACACGCACCACACCTTTCACTCACACCACACCACACACACGTACATACACCCACACACCTCACTACACCACACCACACCACACACCTACACCACACCACATCACAACACACACCACACCACATGTATGTACACCACATCCACACCACACGCACCACACACCCTCACTACACCACACCACACCAGCACCCACAACACAACACACCCACACCACACCACACGCAACACATCCACACCACACACACCTTCACTACATCACATCCACACCACACGCATACCACACCCCTCACTACACCACAACACAACACACCCACACCACAACACACGCACACCACACCACACGCATAACCACACCCACACCACACCAGCACCCACAACACAACACACCCACACTACACACACCACACGCACACTACACCCCTCACTACGCCACACCCACACCACACGCATACACACTCACTACACCCCTCACTACACCAGATCACACCAGCACCTACAACACACCACACACACTACACCTCACTACATACATACACCACCCACACTACACCACACCACACCACACCACACTCATACACCACACCCATTCACCACACACACAAACACACCCTCACTACACATCACACCACCCCAGCACCCACAACACACAACACACCCACACCACACACGCATACACCACACACCCTCACACTACACCACATCACACCACACCCTCACTACACCACATCACACCAGCACTCCACACCACATCACACCCTCACTACATCACACCACACCCAGCACCACACAACACAACACACCCACACCACACACGCACACCACACACACCACACTACACCACACCACACACACACACCACACCACACCCTCACTACATCACACCCACACCACACGCACACCACACACCTCACTACACCACACCACACCACACGCATACACCACACCTCATACACTCACATCACACCCACACCACACGTGCACACCACACATACACCCTCACTACACCACACCACACCACACGCATACACACACCCCTCACTACATCACACCCACACCACACGCACACCACACCCTCACTACACCACATCACACCAGCACCCACAACACAACACACACACACATACACCACACCACACCACACCACACACAAACACCCCACACTAGGGTCAGCATCCACACCACACATACACCACACCCTCACTACACACCACACCACACCAGCACCCACAACACAACACACCCACACCACACCACACGCATACACCACACCTTCACTACACCACACCACACCAGCACCCACAATTTAACACACCCACACCACACCACACCACACCACACCACACTACCCACACTACACCCACACCACACACACTACACACTCACACACCACACCACACACACACCACACACCACACCACACTACCATACACCGCACCTCACTACACCACATCACACCAGCACCACACAACACAACACCCATAACACCACACCACACCACACCACACGCACACAAACACCCTCACTACACCACACCACACCACACCACACAACAACACAACAACCACCCACATTACACCACACCACACCACACCACACCACACATACACCACACCCTCACTACCACATCACATCCACACCACACCCACATACACCACACCCTCACTACACCACACCACACCAGCACCCACAACACAACACACCCACACCACACCACACCACACGCACACCACACCCTTCACTACACACACCACACCACACCAACACCCACACCCTCACTTAACACACCACACATCACACACACACACACACACCACACCCTCACTACACCACACCACACCAGCACCCACAACACAACACACCCACACCACACCACACCACACGCACAAACACCCTCACTAGGTCACATCCACACCACACATACACCACACACCCTCACTACACCACACCACACCAGCACCCACAACACAACACACCCACACCACACAACACACTACACCACACCACACCACACCTACACACCACACCACACCACACCCCTCACACACCCACACCACACACACACCCCACTACCACACACGCGACACCGCACCCTCACTACACCACATCACACCAGCACCCACAACACAACACAACACACCCACACCACACGCACACCACACCCTCACTACAACACACCCTCACTACAACACACCCTCACTACACCACACCACACAACACCACACCCTCACTACACCACACCCACACCCAGTGTGAGATAATTAAACAAGTATAAATTCTATGCAATCTTCTCAGCTCATGTTTGATTCTGTGGTCTGTCCTGATTGAGGATCCCCCATGGTTTCTGGTGTGGTGATCTACCTTCAGTTGTTGGCGATCTATAGCCCATTTTTACATTGTATTGTCCAAAAATAGTTTTGTACTTTTAAAAGATATATGCTAGCTAGTTTTAACTCATTTTGTGATACTCTAGTGGTTTTACTGTCCTTCATTGACAGGGTTTTATATATTATCTGTACTAGTTTTAGTCACGATATGGCTGAAATATTGCCGATGTGACATTAAATTTTAACTCACTCACTCACTGATTGAGGATCCGGGTTTCTGAAGTGTATAGACTGGCCTCCAGCCTCATAAATGTAGTGTCTTGTAAGTAATATGTTGACTTAAAAAAGTTTTAGAATAATTCCGAATCACTTTGCATAAGATTTAATAATCTTTTGTCACAATTATTGGGTGGGGTGTGGGGAGTTGTGAAGCACATGTCACACTCTGAAAACTTGTAAAATTCCAGAATAGTCCTATCTATATTATTTGTTAATTCAAACTTGTTGTGTATTTCTGTGTAATATTTTGCACCCACGCCCACGCCCACACACACTACACAACACAACACAACACAAGACAACACAACACTACACAACAACACAACACAACACAACTCGACCCGACCCGACCCGACCCGTGAAGGTCCAGGTTGATCTTCAGTACCCCATGCTTGTCGTCAGAGGGTGGTCAGGCTCGCTGACTTGGTTGACACATGTCATCGTGTCCCAATCGCCAAGATCGATGCTCTTGCTGCATTATCTGGTCCAGACTCGATTATTTACAGACTGCCGCCATATGGCTGGAATATTGCTGAGTGCAGCATAAAACTAAACTCACCCTCTCCCTGTAAATCTGACCCAGGCCAATGGTTGATAGCATGAGAGACTTTTCTCGCCATAGGGGCCAATAATGTTGCTAAAAGTGGCGTAAAACCATACTCACTCACTCACTCTCACTCACTCACTCACTGTAAAGGTAATGCTTGAACATCGATCCTGTCACTAAGAACACCGATCCTGTCACTAAGAACACATGCTGCTCAATGTAAGGGAAATACGTGGTTGATCTCAGACCTATGAATCCCACTGAGGGGGTAAAAGTTTAATTAAACACACACACACACACACACACACACACACACACACACACACACACACACACACACACACACACACACACACACACACACACACACACACACACACACACACACACACACACACACACACACACACACACACACACACACACACACCTATTTCACAAATTCTTCAGTTATGTCTAAATTAACTGTTCATTATTTTGTTCATTATTTTCCAGAACGCTTCCTGTTTGGAAATTCACAAGGGCAAAGTCGGGTGGACACCAAGAGGAACGCAAGAACAAGCATTGACCACCATCCAGCATCCACTCGTCCAGCACCACGACCCACACGTCCAGCTGGGGTGGATGACTTGTTTCAGCTGGTGAAAGAAATGGATGCCTTGGGTAAGCTGGGCAATTTATGCCCATTAGTAAGACATCCCATAAGTTAGACATCCCAATTTTCAGACACTGGACTAGGGATTAATTAAGGCAACACCCATATATAAATGGGAATATCCCAATTGGATATTCTTGCACGATATTGTGTGATTCTGATTCTGATTCTGATTGGCTGAGAGCTCATCAAATCTGTACTTAAATGGCAGTTTAGGACCGCTAATTAAAGTGACCGATTGACCACGTATGAATACAATTAAATTTACTCATTGGATATTTAAAAGGTATCAATTAAACATTATTTATCAAATGCCTGTGGGTATATACGGGTGGGTCTATAAGAGCACTGTGTAACAACATGCAGACTGACGAACAGAGGCAGCTGAGGCAGATCTCCATACATGCAGTCACCATGGCAGAAATGCAAGTGTAATGTCTAACTCAGTGTTGACTTATTTAAATGTTTTAAGCCTGGTGAGGTGAGGTGAGATGAGATGAGGATTAGCACATTAAAGCATTTATACCATTCTCCATGTCTACTTAATTAGTATGGTGAAACATCTCTTGACTAGGGGTGAAACAACCCCTAATATGGGATGAATCGGCCTAGTTTGGAATTGGGATGAAACGACCCGGTTGAAACTACTCAGGGTGAAACGACCCAGTGTTATCGGTGTTTGCCAAACTGGTTTCAATCACAATTTTATTTAGGAGTGAGTTCTGTCCTCCCTTATTGCCCTTCAATACTTCTATTTTGGAACACTAATAAAAACTGTCATCATCACAGACACATGAATACAAGTCATCAATGCAGCCACTGGCCTCTGGTACGGAATCATGGAAAACATGCAAATCAACTTATCTCATTGCCTTCTGTCATGAAAACATGCTAATTAAAACTGGTGATAAATACAAAAATGGGATTTTGTCCTATGTTGGTCATTTTGGTGTGGGATTTTGTCCAAAGAAATTTTGTCCTATGGAATTTTGTCTGGGTGGGATTTTGTCCATTCCCCATCTGTAATACAGAGAGAATGTTTCTTTGTTTCTTTCAAATGATTCTCCTTCCATTTTCCAGGCAAGATCGTGGACTGGGTAGATGCTGTGTCAAGGCAATATAAGTGTCCCCCCTTTTCTGGATAGGACCAGAACAAGTGACCAGGGGACGCACGGATGGTGCATTGACCACTGGCCATTAAAACAACCATAGGTCATCGAACTGACCATTGTAGAGGAAGAATATAAAGCTCTCCCGCTCCCTCGAAGCACTCTTACCTGTGTTACAGGTATCTGTGATTAGTGTTTTATTGATTGACCGTGACACACCATAGTACATGCTCCAATTACTATATACAGATGACAGTTTAAGATAAGAATAGTTACAAACTATATCTGTTACTATTATATAAGTATATAAGATATATATTTTGGTTTGGTTGTTGGTTAATGCCCCACTCAGCAATATTCCAGATGTGTTGCATCTGTCTGTAAATAATCGAGTCTGGACCAGACCATCCAGTGATCAACAGCATGAGCATCGATCTACGCAATTTTGGACACAATGACATGTGTCAACCAAGTCAGAGAGCCTGACCACCAGATACCACTGACAGTAATGTGGTCACTGGCCATTTCCATGATGAGCTAACACTGCCTACAAAACATGTCCAAAGAACAGGACTGAGTGAGTGAGTTTGGTTTTACGTGGCTTTTAGCAATATTCCAGCAATATCTCGGTGGGGGACTCCAGAAATGGGCTTCAAACCTTGTACCCATGTGGGGAATTGAACCCGGGTCTTCAGCATGACGAGTGAACGCTTTAACCACTAGGCTACCCCACCGCCCCTCAAAGAACAGAAATGTATCCAGGCTGCAGGATTGTGTGACACATGCCGTTGGGTCATTACTTTTGTTGAAAAGTCAGTGAACCAAATTGCATGCAAATAGGGTTGAGTTGGAGCCAGGACTTGATTTAAAAGATGTTAACCTACTTGCACCAGGTGCAACCTAAGATAAAACTTAGTTGCACCAGTCAAATTCCAGTTGCACTGCTTTTATTGCTATATGTAGATGCAATTATTTAGTAGGGCTGGATAATGCCCTGATTCTTATATTGCGATATATTGCCATAATTCAAGAGATATTGCAATATATATTGCGATATATTGACTGGAAGGTTTCTGCCCAAGTGTGTACATCATAAATTCATAATAGCTCTCTGTGTGCAACATCATCTTATCAGTTGTTGTTACACAATACTTTCAGGCTCCCCGTCCCCATTGTGTAGGGTTGTATGCCAATGGTTTACAGATCAATAAATGATACACAGCCTTAACGTGGAATGTTTGATTGAAGTATTGCAACAGTGTTTTGCGAACATAATGGTAAAGGTAATAGTATTGCACAATTTTCATGGTCAGTGTTACTTGCTTCAACAGGCTGTACTTCAATGCAGTATGTAATTATTGTTACTGTCTGTCAGTGATTCGTTCAGATTCCACTCCAATATAAACATGTGTTAACATGAACTATTGCAAAATGAAACAAAAAACATGATTTAGTTTAACTACTTGAGCTTAAAATCCAATAACTAAGATCCTATACTAGAACGTCATTATACAGTCCTTTAGACCTAGACCTTTATGATACATTGATGTCATCTGCCCCATTATGAAACAAACAAAAAATAACAAAATAATGTGAACTGTGAAATGGTCACTTCAGAGGCCCTACTAATAAGTCCAAATAAACAAATGGTCCATTTAAGGCCATTTAATTCCTCAAAATAAAACCATTCAGATGTTCAAATTCCTTTCATGAAATTCTTGAGTGATATCATGTGACTGCATTCCATTTGAGTGTTCTGTTAGTGAGGCTGTAAACTTCAGAACATAAAACACGATGGTTTTATTCAGATAGGTGTTGGCCAATATTCTGCAAGATATATCCCTGAAGGAATAACATTTTGTTATTGTTTAATTGAATTATGACTAATACCTAAACAGCTGTTTTGTTATTGTATCCATTACCCCATATTCACCTCAATGTGCTTGGCTGCAGCTATGTTACATTCTATACGCTAGATCAGACTTGCTGACCAAAGGGACTGGTCATTTGTTGTAGGTTTGGATGGTCAGAGGGATTCAGGATAGGGTCACCCAAATTTTTTACCATCACTTTGGGAGGTTCAATAAAAATAACACATATTTGGGAAAAGTCATGAAGAATTTCACGTTTCTTGAAAATTATGAAGTTCTTGTGCATTTGGCTTTTTCTGGGAAGGTTATAAACAATGTACCAGGCATTGGAAGGCTCATGCAGAGTGAGTTTAGTTTTTATGCTGCTTTTAGCAATATTCCAGCAATATCACGGTTGGGAACACCAGTAAATAGAATAAGTGCACCCCAAAAATTAATCAATGTTAAAAATACTTTGAACAGCTTAAATTACAGGCAATAATTCTTATTCTTATCTTCAATATTAGACATCAATTTACTTTTTGATTTATAAAAATCGTGGTTTTTACCTAGCTGTACATAGCTTGTAAAAGGATTTGGGTGTCCATTAATAAAATGGTCATATTTGTATCAGTCAGCAATAGTGTCTTGTTTAAAATATCTAAGGGCATCATTTTTTATGTGTTTCACGTAGCCACCAAATTCTGAACATGGGTTGGTCGGGGAAAAAAACTTTTAAAAAACCTTAATAAAGAGAAAATTGTCCGAATAATGTTGATACTCATTTTTTGCAATTCTTACTACAATTTCTCAAGTTAGTTGGTCTTGTGCCAGCAACTGATTAAAACATTTTAGATAGATAAACATTTTATATGACGGGAAAATGAAAAAAAGTTGATTTTTTGTTTTGATTTGTTTTGTTATTATGTTGTTGTTTTTTGGTTATTTTAATTGTTGTTGTTGTGGTTTTTTGGGGGTTTTTTTGGTTTTTGTTAGTTTTGGGTTTTTTTTGTTTTGTTTTTTTATTGTTGTTTTTTTGGGGTGTGTGTGTCTGCAATAAAATTAGAAGGGTCGGTCGGGCGATGAGAAGCACAAAAAATAAAAATGCTGCCCTGATAATGTGATTCGGTTCAAAACTGTCAAGAAATCTCTACGAGGAAATTCCCACTGTATGTACCAGTGGTGTTCCAATCAATTGAAATAATCAAAGATTGGTTGCCCTGATCAAACGACCAAGCAATAGATCATATTTTCACATAATCAAACACAAAAAGTTTGGAACTACTGTTTTAGTGTTTGAAATACTTCACAATAGACCCGGTTCGATTCCCCACATGTGAAACCCATTTCTGGTGTCCCCCGCCGTGATATTGCTGGAATATTGCTTAAAGCGGGGTAAAACAATACTCACTCACTCACTCACTCACTAGAAGTTGTCAGGGCCTGATATGTTTTCAATTCTTAGAAAACTCACTTCACTTGTTGAAAAGTCAGGACTGAATATTTTTTTATGACTTTGGGAGGTTTATGTTCATGATGTTAGTCATCACATCAAGTAGCAAGGTGCGTCGTTTTACATTGGATGTGAAATTTGCAAACACAAGCTTCGCAGCTTTTAAATATAACAAATAACAATAGAGAACAAAATTAATGTGTTTTCTTTACACTTCTTTGCAATAACAACCTAAACAGGACGATCTGAAACATGATGCTAACCAACGTTTTTTCGATGATTGCTCGTTGGTAATGAACCAATCATCCATTGTAAGATTTCAACCAATTCCCACGCTAATACACATCACCACTTTGTTCCGTAAGCCTCGGAAACACATCCCAGCTTTATTACATAGCCTCATGAGTAAACCAGGTGATGGATTACGTTCTGTTTTTGTGACATGAGTTTCAATGTTTATAACTAATCACAAGGAGCTATTTCTTTTTTCCTTTGTGTAAACTTTGTAAATATATAAACATGTGAAATAAAATAATTTTAATTCAGTTTGATTATGTGATGTATTTATTATGGTCCCTGCGTTAGGTACCAAAGATGTTTCTGCTGAAACCCCTTGGCGTACTGGTCGTTGTGGGGAATTAGCTCAGCAAAATGTCCAAGACACAAGAATCACAGAATAATGTGGGGTGGCCACAGAGAGTCGGTACAACCCTCGTGGGCTGAGTGTTAGAGCTGACCTGTGTTGAAGAGTCTAAACCCGGCTGACTAACATTTGGATTTTCTAACTATAATTGAAACAGTAAAAAGATTACGATTCGTTGATGATACAGAATGGGGTGTGCCTATCAGGGGTGGATCCAGACGGGATGAGAAAGTATCGGAAGGTACAATGGTGTCCAATGGCAGGGATAGTAATGTACCTAGCGCCTTGAGAGTGCATGAAGCGGGGATATGAGCGACATATAAGCGACTGTTACTTACTAAGGTGCGATATTTTATATATGATGAAACATGGTAGCTTTGCATCATAACTTCCTATGGCACAGGTCGATATGTTTTCAAACAAACAGACTGTATAATTCACAGGGCTGTTACAAACTACATGTAGAAGAAATTACTAATCGTATTTTACTTCAGGACAATGTGTATTACATAATCATTGATACAGAAATGGAATAGACAACTTGAACAACTGATATAAAATGTGAAAACTAATGCAATAAATTTTCTTACATGAGCAAAACAAAGTTTCATTTACAAGACCAATTTGCCCCTGGAGTAAAATACTCCAGGAGTAAATATGGTTTTAATTTACCTGGTGTATATAAGTATATAGTTACATGAGTAAATTCGTTTTGTGACGTTTACATGGTCAGTTTACTTACCATAAGTAAATTTACTTACATAAGCAAATATACTCCTGTAAGTAAATGTGTGCATGTAAAAGCGGCTTAAGAGATAAGTCCTTATTTACAGATCGCTGTCATATAGCTGGAATATTGCTGAGTGAGGCATAAAACTAAACTCAGTCACTCACTCACTGTAAATATTCGAGTCTTGACTAGACAGTCCAGTGATCAACAGCATGAGCACCGATCTATGCAACTGGGATAGGATGACATGTGTTAAGCAAGTCAGCGAGCCTGACCAACTGATCCCTTTATTCACCTCTTACAACAAGCATGGGTTGCTGAAGATCAATTCTAACCCGGATCTTCATGGTCACCAAATGACATGTATTTATTAAATGTGACGATTAAACTCAGGTGCATCTCCTGGATGTTCCAGTCGAGACTTCATCCAGCAGCAAACATGTTGGTCGTAACAGGTGACCATAGCTCGGAGCGGTGCGTGTGTGTGTGTGTGTGTGTGTGTGTATGCGTGCGTGCGTGCGTGCGTGTGTGTGTACTTCATTGGGAAGGGAAGGAGGAACGTGCTGGACTTTAACGACATTTGTGTGTTTGAAGATACGTTTAACAGAATTCCAGACATATGAAGGCAATATCTAAATAATCTAATGTGGACCATACAATCCAGTGATCGATATTATGAGCATCATTATAAGCAGTAAGCCAAGCACAGCACTGAACACCCTATCTATTCAGTCGTTTTGTTTGTTTTTTTCAACCAGCATAGCTTCATGGGAAGGTAACACAACACAAGTAGCAAATATAAAACAACTAATTCTGATGCTTGGATTATTTATTCTTAGTCAACATTCCAACGATATCCAATAAGTTAAATTTTTCTGTCCCTTTATCTGTTTTTCCTGTGACCTACTTTTAGTTAAAATTCCTTTAGCCAAAAGCAATTCAAAAGAGACGGCAACACTTTAAAAGGAACCAGTGATTCACAGAAGAAGGAACACATATATAAAGTTGGTTTCTACAATAATTGTTTTCATCCCAATAATTGTTTTCATCCCGATGATGATGGTTTGCGATACAGTAAGCATTATGGCTCTTTCACGAAAGAACAGATAGACTTTATTTTGACCACCGGAAATAATTCCTCGCGGACATTTTTCCAGAGCTGTAATATTCACAAAAGCATTATGTGTCAACGATATTTGCCTGAGATACCCGGACGCGTAGAAATAAAGCACGTCAGCAGGAGCAGCATTTGATGCAAGACGTACATCGTCTCCAACGGCGACTATCCTCTTCGTTGAGCCATAGTAGCTCACTACCATAAGTCTTTCTGAAACACATGTGCATATCAGCTGGTGGTTTGCGAAAACAGCAAGCTCACGACACCGCCGTTTGATGACGTCTTCGAGACGCGGGCATTCCAAATACAGCTTTCTCAGAAAACCACCGAAGTAATCTATGAAGATAAGAAGACCCTGGTCTTCATCCACAGCCATGTGTTTTGCCGGGGCATTAATCACAAGTTTCCATTGGCCCGTTCTATCAAGAGGAACGTTCCAAATCCCAACCGGTTCCATCATGGACACCAGAAGCCGTCTTGATTTTGGCAAGAGGGTTATGCAAGTAATTTTACTGGCATTTCGAAGGTAAGGATATGTTTTTAATTTTTTGCGGTGTAGAGACAGTTCAAAGAATTTAGGCCCACCTTTGGACCATATTGGACCGTAGAGCAACCGTGTCCATCTTCTTTGCTGAGCCTTCTGACCACCTGCAAAAGAGACGCCGTGGTCAAATCAGGGGAACTTAGCACTGCTTATGAATTCCAGTCTTCGATACCTTAGAGGTTGACATTTTCGGTGAACGTACACCAACCTGCGGGCCTACTTCCGTGGGTCTCGTCATCGCAAATTACCCGCCCTTGATCACATTGATTGCACTACCCAATCAAACGTTGATATGAGAGGAAAGACAAGGGAGACGATTTGTATCTAGGAAGACAAATTTTATGGATAACAACTTCTTTTAACTGAGTTAATATGTGAATGCGACGTGTCGAAACAGTCGAGTGAGTGAGATTTTACGCCGCATAGGCGAAATTTGAGCCGTATACGACCAAATCAAATATACAGAGATTATTATACGAGCAAGTGTGGCATACGACTTATACGTAACGAGTGTGAAATTTTGTATACATTTCACACTCGTTTCGTCATATGACACACTCGCTCGAGTGTAATAATTTCTTTATAATCCATTTTATTCATGCACATTTGTTCAGCAAAACACATTATTATATTCTTAAGGGTGAAATACTGTAAATTTTGGTGAAAATAAAATGGTATTTTCACTGAGTAGAATAACATGTTATTTCATTGAGTAGAATATCACTTTTGCCTGGAACTACTTTCTGATTAAAGAGTTACCTCGTCGGATGTCTCGATCATTTATAAACAATGATCAAAATATAATAAATAGAATATTTTGTTAATGTTGTTAAATAACATGTATATTTCATCCCGTGGTCTGACAAAGTTGCGCCACTCGTGAACATATCAACAAATATCCTCTATTTATTACTCTCCCTTGGAAGATACTGCATTATCTTACCTTCATGTAAAATACTTTAATTTCATTGGTCAATGACGGTTTAAGTTTCCGTGTCACCCTCCCAGGAGGGTGACAACTGGAAACAAATATTACCCACTGCCACGGTAACCGCCACACTCCGGCACAGCGATGACTTAACATAACATCACTGCCACAGGCTAATTTGCATATCACGTGACCGGACTTTTCTCTAGTTTGTAATCAAACGCGCATATTCATAATAAGAAGAGACTGGACTCACGAAAGCTTATCGGCGCTCTCTTCATAATGGTTTACATTGTTACATATATATTCTTCCACAACTGCGACAGTTAGGTCTATGACTACATATTTAGATATCAAACTGGCTTCATCGTTTGCTCTCCATCAGCTTCGATGACAGCACGTGGAGCCGTACAACCTATGTAAACAAAAGGATCGCTACGCAAATCGAAATAGTGTTACATGTTTTTGGATATTTCTCAGTGAAACTAAACCATTTTATTAAAGATGTTTAGTTAGATGTGTAGACTCGTCAAAAATATAAAAGTGAAAAGAAATCTGTACATTATATTGAATGGACATTGCAAGATGTGACGAATCGTCACATTTTTCTGGCCTGTGGCAGAGATACTATGCTGGCTTGCCGCATGGAACTCTGGGTAGGAGATTGACCTAACTGAGAGGCCATCGATTATCCAATCAAATCGTTAGAATCTCAGGTCAAGTCGTTACGACACAGGTCAACGCGATACGACACTCGTGTGACGTACGAGATTAGCATGCACCTACCCATACGTTGACCACGTTGAAAACTTATAGTGTAATACTTTTACGTCAATATTACACCAGTGTAATACCGCTAGACATATGACGTCATAATGGTTTACAGTTATGGCGTCTGATGGAGACCTTGCTTGACACCTATGGCGTCTGAGAGTCACCAGACTGTAGGCAGTTTCTATCAATTTATGTTGAAGAATAATAAACAGAATACTAAACTCGTTTCCGTGAAATACCATTTACTCGTGAAAGATTTAGTATCAAACGTACGAAATAAATGGTATTACACGAAAGGTCGTTCAGTATCCTCTTTATATTGTACCGTTATCATTTCTGCTTTATACCTGTACAAGCATCTGTTTCAAAACGTTGCAATCACGAAATAGATGAAGTTGTCATCCAAAGAGAATTGTTATTATTTTACTTCCCAACTTTTAAAACGTAGCTCAAAGAAATCAAACCCACCACCAGTTTTAATGGACATGAACACACCCTTTCAATCAAAATGATTTTGAGTTCTCTCAGTTTCGCGTCGGTCAGTTTTTCAACGTTGAATATCTCGCAAACAACTCAGTGAATCAACGAGACTGGTACTCACGTTGGTATAGCCAACCCAAGATTGAGGCTTGTTTGTGACTTGAAGGGCGAAGCAAACTGGCAGATGGAAATCAACAACGGGTAATTTGACTGACTGACTGACAGTTTGGTTTTACGCCGCTTTCAGCAATATTCCAGCAACATCACGGCGGGGGACACCAGAAATGGGCTTCACACATACGGGTAATATGAGATTGCAATAACAATGGATCTGTTTTCAGGGGTTAGTGTGTGTTTACCGATCCATTCCTGAAGTAGTCCATCGTTACATTCCTTGACATCTTTATTTCTGTTTCATAAGAATTAGTTGAGTGAGTGAGTGGGTTTACGCCGCATTTAGCAATATTAATGCAGCATCACGGCGGGGGAGACATTGTAACCAAGTGGGGAATCGAACCCGGTTCTCCGGCGAGAACGCTTTCAAATTCAATTATCACAACAACAAAACAAGATTAGTGCTGCCATGTTCACACGCCAATCACAGACTTATGAAAAGGGTATCGGAATAACTACTCAGTAATCTTTACGTTTACTTTTCTGCATCTATTTGGGGTAAAGATGGCCCAATCGCCAAAGGTTAGTTGTGCAGTGTTGCCTCCCTTGGCACACCCAAAGCCTTTTATCGTGGGTTCGAACCCCGGCTCGCCCCGATTGTATGTCTCATCTCTCGAGGGCTTCACTAAAGTAGCAAAAGTCTTCAATATCGTCACATAGGGTTATCCTCGCACATTTAGCTGTGATAGCGTTCAAAACGGCGAAAATGCCAACTTACTCACTTACTCACTCTGCATATACCTTCCTCATACCCGCCGTTATGTAGTGGTACAGGTTGGAACTCACTCACTCACTCACTCACTCACTCACTCACTCACTCACTCACTCACTCACTCACACTCACACACTCACTCACTCACTCACGCACGCACTCACTCACTCACTCACTCTGCATAGTCCTAATCGTTTAGACACCACCTTCCTACCTTCCCTTCTGTAGAAATACAGGTCGGTATGCTTGGACCCATTCTGGTGAGTTTTGTCAGCGGGGCACCTTGCAGCATCACTGTAAAACTGACAGGTTCCCTGGAGGGGGTTGTAGTAGAACGACATGCATCCTGACGTCATCGTGCACAGCCGTTCACAGTGGAGTGTACGTGACACGGGACACGTCATCATGATTGACGTCACGTTGACGTCAGGTCTGTGGCCACGACTGTAGGTGGCTTTGAATATGCGGCCCAAATCCAGACCACTGACTCCCAGATGTCCAAAAAGGAGTGCTATTCTGAAAATGAACACGGGAACATATACTAAGTAACTGTGCACAACACAGTTGCATAAAATAAAAGTTATTTGAAAAAGCGTCTCAGCGCCGGGAGTGTGCTTGAAACTGGAATGGCCTAAATGAAGTGGGCAGACATTTTAGTGTCCATCGAAACACGATCTCATCTCTATGGAGACGTTTAGAACATAATGGGAACACGATAGATCTGCCTCGGACCGGCCGTCCACGCGTGACGTCACGTCAGCAAGACAATCACATTCGGCTGACCCATCTAAGGAATCGAATCCTGACTGCCAGTTTGACTGCTCGGACCATTCTTGGCTTACATCCAATCAGTTTCAGGAATGTCCGGGGCATCACATCTCATGGTTGGACTCAACTTGTCATTGTCAATGACAATCTGAGCAGTCTGCAATACAGGGATGCAGGACTTGACATTCGCCCACTCTCTCCTCATAAGACTTTATTTAATCAGAAAGTTCCGAAAAGAGTTTTGGATATTTTACTGATTTCAAAACTTTTAAAAGCCTAGTCAATAGTGACATAATTTCCATAGACTTAGATATGTTAGTTTAGATTTCATGAAAAGAGTTCTGCAGTAGAGATAGATAGAGAGATAGATAGATAGATAGAGAGAGAGAGAGAGAGAGAGAGAGAGATTCTCATCGCACTCGTATTTCGAGACGAGCGATTTCATTAGATGATACTTTTAAAATGAGCCAATCAAAATGAGCGTTGCAAACTTTTACTATTCCTTGTGTCAAAGCGATAAACTGGAAATATTTAGGTTATAGATGCAAAAAAAGTGATCAATGATCAGACAATTGCAAATACACTTAACCAAAATTGCCTGTATGGTCTGGCATTCGTCGCAAGAGTGTTGGCCACTCGACATATAAGTTCAAAAGCCGGTTCCAGACTTGGACATTCATCGAAATCAGCGATTATTTCTGCTGGTGTTGATCCAGGTTTCAGTTTTGTTCGCCTTTTCTTTTCGGTTAGGTTTTGGTGCATTGTTGATACTTGTGACTTAATAGTATCTGTTTTCATGGTTGTGCACCATGTCACAAACGACCCGTTGCATCAACCTTACGACAAAGTTTGCAATACATTTCCCCACCCCTTTCATAACGTGATATTCCAACCAGGGGAATTCCGCCACCCATTTTGTTGGAAAGTAGGCTGTCTTCTTTTCATCTTATGTCCGTTGTTGCTGGAGCTTGTCCTCTTTAGTTTTTGCGTTTTGGGTGGCGGTGCCACATTTGCCAAGAAACGATGCATTTTAAAATTGAAGCACTCGGAAAATCTAGGATTTTTTTTGTTACATTCGGAACATATCGCATTTAGACATATGCTAAACTTTCACACGTTGCCGTGTTCACTCGTTTTGCTTTTTTCATTCATTCATTTATTATTTGAAAGCTCAAAACATGTACAATTATATTGACAACCTTAAATATCTACTAGACCGTCGGGATAGCACTATCAAAGTTGTAACTGGTCCTGTCAACATTTTACTAGACCCGGGCCAGTGGGATAGCATGAATGTCGAGCACATTGGGCATGTGCAGCCGTTCATTCGAGGACAGAGACACGACTTTACACTTCAGCAAGTTAATGCCTATCAACATGTCGCTCGTGATGTGACAGATTCCTGAGACAGCTGAACATTATGGTACTCCTCTGGTCAGCCCTTTCTGGTCAGCCTTTCTCCGGACCCGTTCCCTATTGAGCATGTTTCGGGTGAAATGGAGCGACGTTTATGTCAAGCTCAGAATCAACCACTGACGTAACCTGAATTGGGACAAGCGTTGGTTCACACATGGTACAACATTCCCCAAGCTTCCTTCAATCGTCTTAGCCTGCAACAACGCTAAACGGTGGACACACACGATACTGAATATGTGAACTGACTTTTGACACCACGTCTCTTCAAGGGCGTGTCACGATGCCTAGTGTCAAATCATACAGATTTCGAGATTATCCTGTCAACAGTTAAACAGTGATTAAGGAAAACACCACAAATCATGTAAATATCTTGTGGGATTAAAATTACATATCATCAAATAATACATTTATTTCAGTAGTATATGTAGAACCAAATTCATGTTTTTTTCCTCTCGTTTGTCCCTAAAAATGTGCAAAACTCAATCAATCTATTTTTGAACCTAAAATCAAATTGTAACAAGAAATCTACTTTCTTTATGATGTCATTTATAACCTTAATTGCACTCTTCAAAAACAGAAACACATTTAATATATAAGCCATTTTAGAATAAGTTTTTGCGTTAGTTAAGAAACAGTTATATCATGTAATTTCAATGGTAAAAAGGTGAACATTCACACGTCTATAAACAAAGAGTTCGCCCAAACAACAGCAGCCTTTATTGTTGTGTTTCTGTATACTTGAGTCCACAAGACCGCAGCAATTACTGCTCGGCACCGTCTTGGCACAGACTGGATAGGTCGACGAAGTCGCTCTTGCGGAATTCTTCCCCACTCTTCCTGCAATGCGATGACCAGTTGTGGAAGTGTCTGAGGCGTGTTTTGACGTTGACGTACACGTCGATCGTGTTCATCCCATAGGTATTCTATCGGGTTTAGATCTGGTGATCGAGAAGGCCATGGCAAGACATTGGCGCTAGAACTGGCAAGGTAGCGGACCGTGACGCGTGCTGTATGTGAAGTGGTGTTGTCGTGCTGGAACAACTCCCTCTGTCGGTCCATAATCGGGAGCATGTGACGTGTAAGGACTTCGTTGATGAACAGATTTGCTGTCAAATTCCCCTGAACCACCACTAAATCAGATCTTTGAGTGCTGTATATCTCACCCCACACCATGACACCGTCTCCACCGAATCTGTCGACCTGTCGAATACAGTTAGGGGCAAAACGTTCATTTCTCCAACAATAAACACGCTGTCTTCTACCTCGCCGTGACCGGTTTTGAACAGTGCAGTTTCTATCATTATATGATATCTATACTGTCAGGCAGTCTGGTATTCCGATTGCACCTGTATGTACGACCGTGGATAGAGTAGCCTTGCTTGGTCGACTTGTCCCATAATAGTAAAGTTATAATCACTCACTAATAACCTGTTTCCATGTATAACCAGTTAAAGAAATTTGAACTCAACGTATTCCTTCGTCTTTGTCAACGTGTAATTCTGAACTAGTCCCACTGTCAACATACACGCGTTGGTCGTATCAGTAATTACCGTATTTCCCCTAAAAAGGGCCGGGAGACGAAAATTTGCAAAATTGAGAAGTTCTCTAGTACAAAGTTCTAAGGGATTTTATTATAAATATTATAAACATGATTTATCTTTTGAACCATACCTGTTTATGCCAAAAGCAATTTACATTGCCTATTCTTAAATTTAGAACTAGTAACCAAGACTGGCCGGTGGACAAATACTCCTAGATATGATCGTTTATGTAAATTATGTAACTCGCTGTTGGTGATGAGTTTCACTACCCGTTAAGGTACCAAGCTCTTCACCAACAGCGGCAGCTGTACATACCTCAGTATGTCAATACCTGGCCCAACCTTTATACACTTAAAAGATTACTTTGTTCAAAGAAAGCTAAAATGCTAAAGATTTGACAAAATTAATTAAATGTATCAATAGAAGTTTAGATATAAATACATGTAATTAAATGTTTGTTTCATTCTCTAATGGGACCCTTTTATATATAAATATGTATGTGTCTCGTATTGTACATTATCCTGCTTCAATTATATCTCTCCAATGCCATCTGTATATGTATACAAGTTCCAGTTCACTCATGTATCACCGTTGGTGGAAGTGGAGAAAAATAAAACTTCGAACCAGTTTGCTAGCCAGTTGGGCTAGCTATGCCCTGAAAGTTACTAGCCGACAAGATTATTCACTAGCCCAAAAATTTGATTGTAGAAATTAAGCAAAAGATTACAAAAAAGTAGATTCTACAAGTCGGCATGACACGGGTTTCATGATTAAGCTGCTAATATGGTGAACATTTTTATCAGGCCAGAGTCTTGCATGGTTTGAAAGTGTGTTATAACTTAACAAGTCGAAGAGAATGATATATTTACAAAATGACCCAATGAAAAATCACTAGCCAGTCGGGCCTGTGACTGTGGAGATTTACTGGCCTGACTGGGTTTTACTAGCCACGGGCAAGCGGGCCAGTGGCTATTTCTCACAGTGCTTCAAACCTTCGGTAAACAGCTCACTAACAATTACGGTAATTACACCCAGTACGCAAAACAATGCCGGGACTCCAATAAGCGCCGTGTCTGGAAGTCCGATGAAAAAATAAGCGTCCGGACACTTCTTAGAGGAAGTACGGGGTACTTTAAATGTCTGCTGAACTTGAGCTCGCTGATCCCTAAAATTAGTAACAGACTCGTGTTGTCAATTTCTATCGTACTATATTTTCTGCCTCAAACCATTTCTCGAACCGCAACCCTACAAATTGTATCAATCATTACTTAAAAAAGCCGCTGACCAGGATTGTGAAATAAAGCGAGTTGAAAATTAATGTCACGTTTTAAGGTCTCGTTTATCCCAAAAATTTGCAATAGGGAAATCTTAAACGTCTTTTTATATTCTGAAACATCACTAATGGAAACCTACAGCTTGTTCAGCTTTGACCTGCTCAAGTGAATACTAATGTTTTTGCGTGACCGTGTCTATTATTGTGAAGGTGCACCTTTGTCGCCGTTTGACATCTCAGTGTCGAGAAATCGTCAGCAGTGTCCTAACTACTGGGACAGAAATATTGCAGTTGAACATGAAATAGAAAAAGTGATAATTGAACTGGGTGTGGAGTGATAGCGAGAGTGAATCGGATTGTGAAAGTAACTGACGTCTGTACGTTGTAAAGTTAGTAAACCAAAATATGACTGTATAAACAATTCAATTAAAATATGAAATGATTGTTTTTTTCAGAAGTGTTGTTTTCCGGGACAAGTTTTGTAACGAATCCATGTATGCATGTTTTGCACGAACGCAACATTAATAACATTCTCTGCTCCCCTATTTAATGACGTTAACTCGACCTGCCGTCTGTGCCATTTGACCTCCCGGGTCATGCATATGTAGAGTAGCTCAGGTCAAGCTGAACAAGCTGTACAAATTGTAACGATCATTACTTCAATGTACTTCATGATTGTGAAAGAGTGAGTGAGTGAGTTTCAGTTTTACGCCGCTTTTAGCAATATTCCAGCAATATCACGGCGGGGGACACAAGAAAATGGGCGTCACACTGATTGTGAAAGATGTCCCAATGGATGATATGGTTACTTCAATGAATGTAATACATCAAATCTTTACGCCCATATACAAAAGCCATTTTGATATTAATTGACTTCGTATGACGTCTATGACTTTAATACAACATCCTTGATGTATATTTCAATTATGTATGAAACGCTTTCACGGAATATTATAGAGATCCATTTCTTAACATTTCTTTTGAACCAATATTATCTTTTTTCAATAGATGACATTCAGAAAACAGTACCAATTTGTGACATCCAGATAACGTGATAAATATAGTTACATCGAGGTATGACTATGTTTTGCCCCGTTCAGTGAATAAAACATTGAAAGAGTTTTCCAATATGACCATGACTGGTATCAATGAAAGCATAATGTCAAATATTTATATCGTTTTGGAAGCCATTCAGTATTCGTTAAGTCAATACTTGAAACATAATGATTGTACTACAAACTATTGTTGGAATTAATGATTCTGTAATTATATTTTAATATCAAAGTCTTTTCTACACACCGGATCTGGTGATGTTTTACCGAATTCATAATCGGAATGAACAGATTCAAACTCGAGTACCAACTTTCGGGACACATTCGCCGTCCATCTGGATTGCATGGACACAAATCTGATTATTATATCCCCAGATAACCCAAGCTGAGTGTTAATCGCTATAGAGGGTTACAGTCACATGACTTTATCCCACCGGGTACCCATTTTCTGCTGGGTGAACAGAGGCAATTTTTAATAAACTCACTTTCCTAAGGTGAGACCACATGTATCACATGTACTTCGCTGTGGGACAGGGCAGAAGTCCTAGAAACTCTCAGGAATCAAGCTGCCAAACTCGGTCACCCATGGCTTCTCCGCGCTCAACGTTGCTTAACTTCAATTGATTTGTGACCTGAGCTCTGTTCACAGGACCTCGTAACACCAGTCCCATGCTAATAACAGGACACAGAATGACAGCATCTGATAAAGCTACACCTTGTACAGATGTACAAGTTCAAAGAACCCCCGCTGATCCGCTTCACAATTGGTTTCCAACAACCCATGCTTGTCCTGCGAGGCCATTCGGGAGGTACGCTCTGGACATTAAATAAAGTAGCTTTTCATTTAAATAAAATTACGTTAAAGTTTTGTTAAATGAATTTGTTTCTGTTTTTATGTAATTGGTTGACAATTTGAAATTATTTCAGTACGTTGTGGAAATGCAGAAAAGTCCAAATGAAAGTTCACGACCAACATGATTCCGAACATTAATATTGTATTTGATCAAAGGATTACTATGTAATTATATTTATTTGTAAAAAACTGTATCAACCGTTGCTATAAACTATATCCCACTGGGATATCACGGTCTGTGGAGCGATGTGCACGATGCAATGTAGATGAGGAAGTAACTTCTGCGACCACGAACCAGTGTTCGAAATAGTCACTGGCCCGCTACCCGTGGCTAGTAAAAATCCAGCCGGGCCAGTAAATCTCCACAGTCATTGCTAGTGAATTTGAATGGGGTCATTTTGTAAATATATCACTCTCTCCGACTTGTTAAGTTATAATACACTTTTAAATCATGCAAGATTATGGTCTGAAAAAAATATTACCATATTAGCAGCTTAGTGATGAAACCTGTGTCATGCGGACAATACCATATTCTCATCTACTTTTGTAATATTCTGCTTAGTTTAAATTTCTGGCTAGTGAATTATTTTGTGGGCTAGTAACTTTCAAGCATAGCTAGCCCGACTGGCTAGCAATATTTGGAAACTATTTCGCACGCTGCCATGAACATATCCCCGCCATAGATAAGTGAGTGAGTGTGGCTTTACGTCGCTTTTAGCAATATTCCAGCAATATCACGGCATAAGAATTGGGCTTCACACATTGTACCCATGTGGGGAATCGAAACCGGACGTTCGGCGTGACGAGCTGACGCTAGGGTTACCCCACCGCCCTACATAGATAAAAGAATCATCCACGTAGATATAACAATCAAGGCCCCTATTCTCGAAACGTTCGTAGACCTAAGAATTCTTAACTTTGATCGTAGCCAATGTGTTAAGAACGTTTGGAGAATAGCTAGCCTGCTACGTATGTGAAAGCATCCTTTTAGTAAACGAAAGTATCTTTTACGCATATAAAAATGTCCATTAAATAGATGTTAGTATTTTTACGGGTTTGAGAGTATCTTTCACGTAGACGTTAGTATCGTCTAGTTTTATGAAAGTACCCTTTAAGCAGACGAAAGTATCTTCTACATATATGAAGGTATTCTTTAAGTAAACGTAAGTACATACTACGTGTATGAAACTACCCTTTACGTAAACGTAAGTATTTTCTACACATATGAAGGTATCCTTTACGTAAACGTAATTATCTTCTACGTATATGAAGGTATCCTTTAAGTAGACGTAAGTATCTTCTACACATATGAAGGTATCCTTTACGTAAACGTAAGTACATACTACGTGTATGAAGGTATCCTTTAAGTAGACGTAAGTATTTTCTACACATATGAAGGTATCCTTTACGTAAACGTAAGTATCTTCTACGTATATGAAGGTATCCTTTAAGTAGACGTAAGTATCTTCTACGTATATGAAGGTGTCCTTTAAGTAGACGTAAGTATTTTCTACATATATGAAGGTATTCTTTAAGTAAACGTAATTACATACTACGTGTATGAAACTACCCTTTACGTAAACGTATGTATTTTCTACACATATGAAGGTATCCTTTACGTAAACGTAAGTATCTTCTACGTATATGAAGGTATCCTTTAAGTAGACGTAAGTATCTTCTACACATATGAAGGTATCCTTTACGTAAACGTAAGTACATACTGCGTGTATGAAGGTATCCTTTAAGTAGACGTAAGTATTTTCTACACATATGAAGGTATCATTTACGTAAACGTAAGTATCTTCTACGTATATGAAGGTATCCTTTAAGTAGACGTAAGTATCTTCTACGTATATGAAGGTGTCCTTTAAGTAGACGAAAGTATCTTCTACACATATGAAGGTATCCTTTAAGTAAACGTAAGTACATACTACGTGTATGAAACTACCCTTTACGTAAACGTAAGTATTTTCTACACGTATGAAGGTATCCTTTACGTAAACGTAAGTATCTTCTACGTATATGAAGGTATCCTTTAGTAGACGTAAGTATCTTCTACACATATGAAGGTATCCTTTACGTAAACGTAAGTACATACTACGTGTATGAAGGTATCCTTTAAGTAGACGTAAGTATTTTCTACACATATGAAGGTATCCTTTACGTAAACGTAAGTATCTTCTACGTATATGAAGGTATCCTTTTAAGTAGACGTAAGTATCTTCTACGTATATGAAGGTGTCCTTTAAGTAGACGTAGAAGTATCTTCTACATATATGAAGGTATCCTTTAAGTAAACGTAAGTACATACTACGTGTATGAAACTACCCTTTACGTAAACGTAAGTATTTTCTACACATATGAAGGTATCCTTTACGTAAACGTAAGTATCTTCTACGTATGAAGGTATCCTTTAAGTAGACGTAAATTATCTTCTACACATATGAAGGTATCCTTTACGTAAACGTAAGTACATACTACGTGTATGAAGGTATCCTTTTAAGTAGACGTAAAGTATTTTCTACACATATGAAGGTATCCTTTACGTAAACGTAAGTATCTTCTACGTATATGAAGGTGTCCTTTAAGAGTAGACGTAAGTATCTTCTACACATATGAAGGTATCCTTTAAGTAAACGTAAGTACATACTACGTGTATGAAACTACCCTTTACATAAACGTAAGTATTTTCTACACATATGAAGGTATCCTTTACGTAAACGTAAGTATCTTCTACGTATATGAAGGTATCCGTTAAGTAGACGTAAGTATCTTCTACACATATGAAGGTATCCTTTAAGTAGACGTAAAGTATCTTCTACGTATATGAAGGTATCCTTTAAGTAGACGTAAGTATCTTCTACATATATGAAGGTATTCTTTAAGTAAACGTAAGTACATACTACGTGTATGAAACTACCCTTTACGTAAACGTAAGTATTTTCTACACATATGAAGGTATCCTTTACGTAAACGTAAGTATCTTCTACGTATATGAAGGTATCCTTTAAGTAAACGAAAGTACATAATACTTATATGAAAGTATCCTTTAAGTAGACGTAAGTATCTTCTACACATATGAAGGTATCCTTTACATACACGTAAGTGCATACTAGTTACGTATATGAAAGGACCCTTTAAGTAGACGTATGTTCTACATATATATAGGTATCATAAAAGTAAACGTAAATTTACATACTACGTACATGGAAGTACCCTTTAAGTAGACGTTAGTATCGTCTAAGTATATGAAGGTATTCTTTAAGCAAATGTACATATCTTTACGTATATGTAGGTATCCTTTAAGTAGGTGTAAGCATATTCTACATATTTGAAGCTTAGTCGATGTGAGTATCATCTGCGTTGAAGTTAAGAAATGTGACTGTGACGATAACCCTTTCCAGGGATAATCTATTCATTTCTTCTTCGACAACAACATGAGTCTGTAAAATATATTTGTATAGTCGTTACGTCATTCTGACAAGTATATATCAAGTATATACTCTGGTTCCCTACCTCACAGCTTGAAGAAGAGGTGTCAGCATTGAAGCTTGGAGTGCCATACCTCGGCTGCCGCTCGAACCTGCTGTAAGAACAGAATGATATCCGAGTCCTAGTTCCGATACATCCAGACAACTTGCTTTGATTCCAGCTGGAGCGGATTATTGGAGGTTTCCAAGCATTACAACTCGCTGACGTATAACCATTGAATTCTGTTTATGAATGTTTGATGACGGCTGACGCTTCCCTTTTCAAATAACGTTAAACCAGTTATCCACTCAACTTACTAAACTTGCTGCTGAGTGACTGAACACCTCGAAAAAAAGTTAAGCATCCCCGGTATATTTTACCATGTACGTTTCGGCTAAGATCAGTTGTGTGCACGCACAGTACGTTGGTACGTTTTCAGTAAGATCATTTATCATCCAAAACTGTGTTCCACTGGAGATATTGCTTGTGTGAGTTCAAACGATATCTCACAGGAGATATCGTTTTTTATTACCCACGTGGTCAACGTATGGGAGTTGCATACTAATCTCGTACGTCACACGTGTGTCGTATCGCGTTGACCTGTGTCGTAACGACTTGACCTGAGATTCTAACGATTTGATTGGATAACCGATGACCTCTCAGTTAGGTCATGTTGTGACGGAACTACTTTTTCATTCATAACAAACACGTGGATCCATTCATTCTACAACTAAATGCATTGTGGGAATGTAAACATCGCGAACGTTGCCGTGTCGCTGTTTTATTGTGAGTCGAACTGAGACATTATACCCGTCGAAAAACGTAAACGCAATGTTTCCACCAGTGATGTTAGCCGAATGAAGCAACTGCAAACCAAGAAACGGGTGCGACGGAGTAGTTTACTGTAGGAGGCTGTACGAGGCGAAGACAACTGACATGCATCGTGACGTCGGTTACCAAGGCAGTGACGTCATTACAGTGACGTCATGCAAATATTGTACTACAGTACAAAACTCTTCCGCAACCTCTTTATGAAACCGGTTTCGGTTTGAAACCAAAATATTAACAAAACTACGTTATTTTGTCAATTTAATGCATGTAAGACGTGGGTAATAAATAAAATACCACACTCGGTCTCATTACATACGAATTATACGAAACTCGTGACCTTCCTATGTTATCTGACCTCGCTTTCGCTCGGTCAGATACCATGGAAGGACACTCATTCGTATAATTCGTATGTAATGAGACCTCGACAGTAGTATTCTTTTTGACAGTAGATTTTGAACAATGCTATGACGTCATAGACTTGATGACGTCACAACGCTATTACATCGGTGGAATGCAGGTCTAATGGCAGTACCGTGTTCAGAGATGTACACTTAGGAGATAAACATCATGTGTTGGCCAATTTCCGGGTGTTATTGAGTATTTGAAGCACGGGAATACATTTGGAACCGAGGGCGTCAGCAGTGAAATGTCATCAGCCGGCCGTTTCGGCTGTCTCCCATGGTAGCATCAGGAACTGCTTATTTGTGTCGTCATTAGGACTTTACGTCACATTATGATTTGGATGACGTCACCACTGCTGACGACGTAACAATACAATGGTGTGTGCGATGTTTGTACGTTTTAAAATTACATAATGATGATTAATTCATGCTAGATAATAGAGCTGAACCTGAATTGTTCATGCACAATGATTGCGAATTACACAATAATTACTTGATAGTAGGCTTTTCAAAATTAATTGTAGGCTTTTCAAAATGAATTGATAATAGGCTTCACATTTATCAAAAGTTCATCAAAAGTTAATCAATAGGTCAAGGTAAACACCTTGATCACGATTCATTGCCGGTTTATGCCTTCATATTTCCACAGCCTCATATAGTTTCCTCCGAGGCCAGTCGTTGTTATTGCTCGAAAGCACCCTGATGTCATTCCACGTGATTACATAATTTATTTAAGTTATTTGCCTTGTGCTCCGATATAGCCGACTTATCATTTTGTTTACATACTGACGACTTGTGTTCAGCCACACGGGTGTTGATGGGCCTGAGAGTCTCGCCAATATATTGATATATATACAATGCCGGAAAAAATAGTCGCCATGACTACTCCACCAATCTGTAACGCAGCTCCCAAGTAATGACTGATGTGAGTGAACCACCACTATCGACTACGTCAGTGCGCCGTGTAGCCACCCGTCGAAATGATAACATCTGCCAATTTCTTCCTCATGCTAGCAATTTGGCATCGAATTGTCAGCATCGGAGTTCTCTGCCATTCCTCGGGGTGCGCCTCCGTTAATTCCTGCAGATTGTGAACGGGCGGATCTCTAGCTCGAACTTGGCGTCCAAGACAGTCCCATAGATGCTGGGGTTCATATCGGGGCGTCTATAGGGTAATGGTAATGTTCGATAGTGTCGTTCTGCAAATAGACTAAAACCAAGTGTCTTGACAAAAACGAAACATATTTTGAGTGTGAAAACGGAACGTTGTGCTCATACCACAGCGCTTGCTAGAAATGTAAACAAAGCAAAAATCAGATTTTATACTGTGCAGCATTTTCCATTTTGTAGAAATCAGTTTGTCTGCTCGTAGCATGCATGAGCTCAATAGTTTTAGAATATGCACGGAAAGAGTATCGTAGCAAGAACTAGAAAATTAAAACGGATACATAGAGAATACTACACGAGGTCTCATTACATACGAATTATACGAAACGAGTGTCCTTCCTATGGTATCTGACCGAGCGAAAGCGAGGTCAGATAACATAGGAAGGTCACGATTTTCGTATAATTCGTATGTAATGAGACCGAGTGTGGTATTTTATTTATTACCCACGTCTTACATGCATTAAATTGACGAAAAAGCGTATTTTTTATATTGTTATGGTTTCAAACCGAAACCGGTTTCATTAAGAGGTTGCGGAAGAGTTTTGTACTGTAGTACAATATTTGAATGACGTCAGACTGTAATGACGTCACTGCCTTGGTAACCGACGTCACGATGCATGTCAGTTGTCATCGCCTCGTACAGCCTCCTACAGTAAACTACTCAGTAGCACCCCGTTTCTTGGTTTGCAGTTGCTTCATTCGGCTAACATCACTGGTGGAAACATTGCGTTTATGTTTTTCGACGGATATAATGTCTCAGTTCGACTCACAATTAAACAGCGACACGGCAACGTTCGCAATGTTTACATTCCCACAATGCATTTAAGTGGTAGAATGAATGAATTCACGTGTTTGTTATGAATGAAAAAATAGTTACGTCAGTATGTGACCTAATTGAGAGGTCATCGGTTATCCAATCAAATCGTTGGAATCTCAGGTCAAGTCGTTACGACACAGGTCAACGCGATACGACACTCGTGTGACGTACGAGATTAGTATGCAACTACCCATACGTTGACCACGTGTGTAATAAAATACAGTAGTCTTTCATACGAAAGTTCTGTGCAGCGTGACGCCATGCCAGACGCAAAATCACGGAGAACGACATAGGCAATTATCGGCATTTCTGGCTTTTGCAATAAAAGCAATAGTCAGAATATTTCTGATTACTTACATCATACATTTATGGACAAAGGTACCCTCGCAAAATCGTGGGCACCCATAGGTCTATCCACGAATTTCATGAGAAATCGGTCATCGATAGTGATGCCATACGTCAACATTGTTGTACATATTTGAGGTGAAGGTCGGTTGAATAAGAGTAAACACAGTCACACTGTCCTGCGGATTACACTTTTAGTATTAATGTATAATTTGCATATTGTTCAGATATGTTTCATGAAAATAATTTCATTACTAATAATTTTAAACTTAAGTAAAACTGACAAAATAGATAACAATGATTTAAATGAAATGTATATGCATACATTCATAAAGGAATTGTCTTGTTCAATGAATTTGTTTATGTTGTTTTATAAACAAAACAATGACGTATAATCATTGGCCAGGTGCGCATTTGTCATAACTTTTTCACTATCATTGTTTTCGATAATACCGTGAACAAGTCATCACGGATATATAGCATCCTTATCCACAGCAAATTCTCTCAAAGTGATCTGAGTTACAATGACTAATTGTTAAGCATAGCAGAGTGATACCCCCTTATCTTTATAAGCGTATGAACTTTTGTAGTCATGTGACGTCATAGAGGAAAATCCATTTTCAACACAAATTGCGAGTCATTTTTTAAGATTGAGTGTATAACGTTATACATAAGCACACAAACCAATGTAATCCATACTTATGTCGTTCAGATATCAGTAGTATTTTGTCCGTTTGCACTTTCCGTAAAGATGCCAAATTAAAAATATAGTAGCATAGTACCTTTATCATTGCACGATAAATAGCGGAGACATTTACTGTTTTTAACGCATAGCAAAATTCGGGATAACATATAGCAGTGACTCTTTTTCAAACAGCCTAAGTATTTGCACTTGAGTTTACACTATGATATAGGCAATTAATATTCTACATTTCTGTGTAATTGTACAGGTGTAGGTAGATCCAATGCTGCGCAAACGAAATTCTTGCGCAACGTACACTTTTCCAGGAAGTTAATGACGCTCTAATGATACCCAAGAACCTTCAGTTAATGACGCGCTAATGACAACACGACGTCATTAAAACGTTAGTACAACAGAATTTAGCGATACATTAGTTAATAATTTCGTGCTTTGAAGTTTACACAGATTCCCGAACGTTGGTTGGAGAGAGGGGTCATGTGATCTAAATTTCAAGGTCGTACAAACTCGTAAACTCGCTAGTTCACACGAGTTTGAACAACGCTTTGACATCGTTCATTTTTCAGTGCAAACACACAAAGTGACATTCAAACCTTAAATGAACATTTAATGGCACCTTATGTTTCATCAAAGTTTGATACAACTGGGTCCTGGTGTTCAACATGGTCAAGATGTGCAGTATGGGTGATAAGGCCTGGTATATCATAGTACTTGATTTGATGTTATGTAGAGCTACATTTGGAGGCCTATATTTTTGTCTGTCACATTGAAATTATATATATATATAGCGCTCGTGAAAGGAGCCCCTGAACAGTTTTTAATTTCAAAGTTCAGGTAATCTGGACTTGGACAGTGATTCTAGACTTGAGCTGGACACTATTTTGTATTATTCCTTCTGGTCTGGGAAACAAACGTGTCCCTCGGCAATCTTGTCTGCCAACTCACCCCTTCTCGTGTTCCCGCCATATAGCTGGAATATTGCTGACTGTGGCGTAAAAGTAAACTCACTCACTCACCCTTCTCGTGTTCAGAGGGAAGAGGAGATATTTTACTACGCTTCGCGTGGTTTCGTTACGATAACATGGTCAAGATACAGTACGGGTACGTGATAAGGCCGGGTGTATCACATTACAATGTACCTGTTTTTGATGTTAGACCTACAGAGTCGTGCCAGAAGTATTCGGCACTTTACGTAAGTTCCATAGACTTACATGTTAATTTAGTGTAGCATAAATAATTTTCATGAATTTAATTTTCGTAAGATCAAAGTCAAATTTTGCACATTTGTGAGGAATCATTTTACCTACAATCACATAATTTCTGTTTAATTTTCCGTTGCTTATTTATCGAATGGCAACATTTTAATCAACATGTGTACAGTGCCGAGAACTCCTTTAACATGGCGGCCTATGGGATTGTGCATTGTGGCACCATACGTACGTAAGTTGATAAATGTGATGTCATTAGTTAAATAGTTGAAAATTGAACTGATATTATGTGCGCAGAGCAGAGATGATTTCAAATTTGGCTGTCAAATTTTACAATGATCCATCCTAAACTCACTTCATGAAAATTATTTATGCTACACTGAAATAACTTGTAAGTCTATGGAAATTACGTCAAGCGCCGAATACTTTTGGCACGACTCTGGCACGACTCGTGGTTTCGTGACGATAATGTGTTAATGCAACATTTCTCACAAGAAAAGAGTCTGGGCGCCTGAGAAATACCAATAGCTGCTGCTTAGAGATTTTTAACGTGCGCTGTTCACTGTTCAGTAGGTCAAAGGGTGATGTACAATGGGCTTTTACACGTACAAATTGCAGTGGGGTTTTCACATTACAGTGATTTTACACATTCTACTATACTTTTCTCATATTACGATGGGCCACTAGTGGTACGACTGTCGTAATCGGTGTTCCGATCGTCTTAGCGCTAAGATTGCTTTATGGTACGGGATCCTGCTGTACAACAAAATATCATTGAGTATCTTTCTATATTAATTTCTTTCAGATTTAATTCATATTTTATCCATGTCAGAAACCTCTCGCCGTGTAGAGCTCAAATTCCCATGTTTTAAAATTGATATACGCACCAAGAGAATAATCTTCAATCCGTGCTTGGATTCGAATCTGCCTTTTAAATATTACCATCACGGAAAGAGAAAATAAACGGTGAAAATGCGAGTGACCTCCCCTTAATAAACGTAAACAACTAGGAAGGGAGACGGTTAAAAACTTTGGAACACTTTCACAGGTATTTTTTCAGCTTAACAGTGAATTTGCTCGCTGACATTAGGACTAGAACATTTTCAAGATTTCATCAACTTTTAACCGAATGTCCTTCTGTATCTTTAGTGGGTCAAATAACTGAATGTGTTCAGGAAATTTTTATGACATCAGTCATACCGATCTGAAACGTTGCTTTATGTCGGATATCGCGGGTAGAACTGGGTGTACAACAATGTTTAGTGGTGGTGTTACCAGTGACAGCTTATAATTACGGGCTCCGGCTGCCGTCTGTCTATCGCTCTCTTCACTGAACTCGCTTGCTCTTCGATCTCATAAGTTGTGATAAGGGGTAAGCCAGTCCCACAGTCCCTGAACCATGTTATTTTCCCTTCTGCCCAGCCCAGTCTTTACGTTAAAACCCCTTAATGAAGCAAGTCTTGATTTCTTTGGGTTCTGAATCTCCCATCTCACTGGATCTCTTTTCCATTTAAATGAAGTTATTTGTTTATATCAATTTTTCAGAGACTTTAATCTCATAAGTGGTGTTCAGCCAGTGACTCCCCTTATAGATTTATGAGCTCCAAGTTCTCTTGCACATTTATGGTCTTTAGAGTTAGGTGCCCTTTCTCATTGAGGCACGGGCAGTTGGGTAGCCTAGTGGTTAAAGCTTTCGCTCGTCACACTGAAGACCCGGGTTCGATTACCTACATGGGTACTATGTGTGATGCCCATTTCTGGTGTCCCCTGCCGTGATATTGCTGGAATATTGCTAAAAGAGACGTAAAACTAAACTCAATCCCTCAATGAGACACCTCTTCATGATTCTTATGGCCGGCCAGTGTTCCAGTCAAATACCCCACTACAATCGTTAGTAGATAATTGTGAGTTGGGTAAATTATAGTTCTTTTAAACAGTATTAATCTAGTGTAGTTTGAGGAAATTCCATAGAATGTTTATGAAGTTCTGGAGGATATGGCTTCTGCATCTTCTCATATATGTAAACATTTGGGTGCTGATCAATTAGGAAACGAGCACTAAGTCTAACTACATGTATGTGTAAATGCAGCAAAGGTCAGACGGCAGTGTGTTGGCCAATTACATCATTAGTTTAGCTTCTTTGCTGGCAGTGCAATGTTGACCCTACATGGGGTACTCACTGAAGTCTAAAAGCTGTGCCTGATAAAGTGCAACTGGTTACACTTTGTATTTTTCCTTTTTAGTTTCTTCTTAACTATTTGAGCACTAGCACTGTTCATGTGCAGTGTGTTTGTGTAAGTGGAAAAGCTGTCCAATGCTATGGAATGCATAGTATTTGAAGTTAAGCACAATTAAGTTCCTGGTAAAATGAAAATATGCTTCATGAAAATTGAAATAACCTCGTGAGTGAGACAGTGACAGGATGCTGTCAGTTTCAAATGAAAAGGAAGCAAACGTTTCTTAATCCAAAATATTTATCATCCAGTTTAAGGTGAAATGAAAAGGGCTACTGTCAGAAAATGGATCAAAGGTATTCTACTCATTGTCCAAAGGGCCCACCTGAATATTTATGTAGCACATTTCAAACAAAATACAAACCTTTCTGTGGAATAGGATCTTGTGTTCATTCCATCTGGATTATTTGCAACTGGACAATGAATGTGTAATGCCACTCACCCCAAGATGGTGCGGATACTCAAAATATTGTTTACGGGCTGATAACAAAGAAAATTAATTTAGCCTTACAGGGTTCGATTTAGTGCTTTGTTACTTGCACTGGTGCAACCCAATACTACAAAGTACAACCTAGTTATTAGTCTAACTTGCACCAGATGCAAGTCAATTTTTGAAAAAAAACCTTGCATTTTTTAATAAAAGAGAAACTTTTATCTTTTCTGTTATTCGTTATTTGATCTTAAAGGTAATGAATACATAAATGTCAAATAACACATGCAGTTAATAAAGATAAACGTCTCATTCTGCAACATCTGTGACCACTGTGAAAATCAATATCATCCGAGTTGTCTCCCTTGGCTAACACGTTGATAAACCTGTAGCATGTTTTGTTAGACACATAGTGCAGACACATATGTGTATAGATTGGATTGATTTTGCAGATAAATGTGAAATGAAGTCAGTGTGAGAACGTAGCTGTGCGGGGCTGAAGTATTGACATGTGCATGGACAGAGCAGCAAATGCCCACACGTTCATGTGACAAGTTATCCCAACAAATGGCTGTGTAAGGTGAGTACTTGAGGATGTAGATGTAGACATGATGATGTGACTGATAACTGGCAGTAGGGTCATATTAGTTTCAAAATGTTCCAGAACTTACTGCGAAGATGAATACATTAACATTTCTAAAATTAGCCATGACATTCCACTGAAATAAATCATGCACTTTTTCAAATGCAACCGGCCCTGGGCATGGTGTTTCTGCTTTCCCAAGAAACCTGTTTATTCACGACTGTCAAGTAACCACCATGCTTGGGGATTATACAGGACGCTTTAATCATCCCGCGCTGTGTTTTCACCCAGTCAAGTTTCTTCCACGGTGATTGAATTAATTAGGGTCAAGCGCTTCAGTTAGTACAGTGGAGTGCACCCGTCTCACGCACAAGAGACGATAGACCGTCTCGATACACGTTACGTCTCTGACTGATAATTAATAGGGCCTGTTGCTTGAATTTTGTTGCCATGGTATTTGAAATTGGGAAATTCTGAACTGAAAAATTTAGATGGTAGTATGAGGGCTTGGACAAGGATCCTTTCCCTGTCAGGCCGTATTTCCAACACTGTATAACATTATCACTTGTCTATGCTCCTTAGGTTGTAGGAATGTTGTTCAACAGCTTGGTATGGTCATGTGAGAAGCTGTGCTGTGTTGGTGATAGAAGTGTTATTTTACGTATTACAACCAACCAACTAGTCATAACTGCTGCACGGAGCTTTGCATCATCTGACGCTGGTGGAATCGCACCACTGGTGCTTCCAGTCGGCAAAACGCTTGTTCACAAAATACACAAATTGATACAATGGTAGCACACAAAAAGCTTTTCCCCCTTTTTCCCTTTAAAATAGTGACCTACAATACCAAAATTATTAAAATATATAATATGAAAGCTGATACCCATCTGCTGAACGAACTGTAATTGTGTTCACGAGTAAGTTCCCCTAAAGTTGACAATAAACTAAAATACATAAATATTCATGTAATTAGTATTTTATTCCTACAGAACTATTTATGCCTGGATTAATTCCTGGCTTCTATTTGTGTATAGTCATTACTAACTATCTATTGGCTTCCCTTGTTATCTTATCACTGCTGTTTCTCATCACTTGATTATTTGCAGACCTCCGCCATATAGCTGGAATATTGCTGAGTGCAGCGTAACACATAGACTAATGCTTAGTCTCTGAATATATATAATTTTGATAGTAACATAATTGAAAAGGAGCCCCAGGGAGACCAGAGATTCCTCAACCTGAGGAAATCTAGACTTGCTTTATTTAGGGCTTTAGCACTGCAGAGAGGACTTGGCATTAGGGAAATTAATGTGGTTCAGGGACTGTGAGACAGATTACGTTAAACAACCAACCAACCAACCAACCAACCAAATCGTATGAAAATTGACACAAAACATGCTATTTGTTGATGTAGAATCACAATCCACAAATATGGAGGTTTTCTCTCATGTGGCCTACTGGAGTAGCAGCAGCAACTTCCCTTATGTTGTATGCCACCAGCTTCCTGAATGTAATGTGGCCATTGTCGAATATCAGCATACAACATAATACATATCAGCATACAACAAAATACAGATTATCCATCGTCCAGAAAGTTTATTGAATAACGGTGCCTTGGGGTCCATGGCTGACCCCCTGCGTTATACAGAACATGGCATAAAGTTCAGAACCAGTTACAGAGGAAAGAACACATGTAATATATACTGGACAAAAATAGTTAGGGATATATGTAAATTTTGAACTTATGAATAATGATCTATTAATTCATTGACACACTAATAAAATATCATTCATAAAGACACCAATATCCCTAACTTATTTTGTCCAGTATATATGCGTATCACAATACATGATTGAATGATAATTGCAATAATATATTACAAATGAATGGCTGATACTGTTCGGAATTGGTTAAAATCTCATAATTGATGATTGGTTCATTACAACCAATCAATCATAGAAAATAATGGTTTGCTTTATTTATGAAATTTTCCTGGTTATTTTTGTTTGCACAAAAACATAAGGAAAAAAAACCATGTAGTTCTTTGGTGATTTTTGTGTGTGCAAATTTCACATCTTTAAAGGATGACTAGTATGTTAGGAACATAAATTTCTTGGGGTCTTTAAGATAAATTCAATCTTGACTTGGAATGAGCTTGTAGTGCTCATGAAATGTAACAGACAAAACCAACCTTGTGAAAAATATTGTTAATGCAAAAAGTGTTCCAGAATTGTTGTGTTCGATTATGGGAAAACATGATCGATTGCTTGGTTGTTTAGTCGCTGTGACCAATCAACTGACATATAAAACTCTTAAGCAATACTCCAGCTCTATGATGGAGGCCTGTAAATAATCGAGTCTGGACCAGACAATCCAGTGATCAACAGCATGAGTATCGATCTACGCAATTGGGATACGATGATATGTGTCAACCAAGTCAACGAGCCTGACCACCCTATCACCCTTGCGACAAGAGTCACCTCTTGTGACAAGCATGTGTTACTGAAGATCAATTGTAACCCGGAACTTTACTGTGTATCTCACTGGACTGGAGCTATTAATCAGCTGAAATGCAAGCTGGGACAAGCGAAAGTGTGGTAATCTTGAACCCAACACTGGTGACCCCATTTGACCTTGAGAGAAAGAGAGAGGAAGAGGGGCCTTCATACAGTTGGAATTAGGGGATTGAGAGACAAAAACACACGCATGCATGCACGAAACTCTTTCTGGACAAGAAAAGAAGAACAAATATATAATCTGTCATGCTTCACATTTTTTTCACGTATTCTGTTTTAGGTGAATGCAACACCACGGAAGTCTGACGAGGCAACGACATAACATGTCCTCGCGCAGAGACCGACTAATTCGTGATCAGGATTCCAAGTCTTTCAACAGCGTGATGGCGAGGGAGAGAAACGGAAGCAAACAGCGTCTTGTTCCAGAGTGTCGGGACTCCGCATCAGATGGTGACTCAGACGATGAAGGGTCGTGGGGCTCCATGGATGAAGATTATATTTGTAAGTCAACTTTCCATTTCATATAACTTGGTTTTATCACTTGCATGGTTTCACATGCGTTTTAGAAGATTTTGAATGAAATGAAACATATTTTGTTTGCAGAAGTTGGCTTATAGTATTTCAAGAATAGTCGACGGAAGCCCTGAGAAAGCAGGGTTATGTACATTGTACATGTGTTGACCAATGGTACGGCTGGACACCCTTTCCACAAACACCTAATGTCATTGACTTTCACAAAAGTTTTCACTTTTACTCCAGTGGAATTTTTTTCAGCTGACAACCGTCACTGAATTTTCTCTGTCCTTTGCTTTTTATATCTATGAACAAAATATTATTATCCCTACATATACAAACTTTTCATAGTCTGTCTCACAGTCCCTGAACCACATTATTTTCCCTACTGCCAAGCCCTCTCTGCAGTGCTAAAGACCTAAATGAAGCAAAACTAGATTTCCTCAGGTTCTGAATCTCTGGTCTCCTTGAGGCTCCTTTTCTATTTGTTACAATCAAAATTATATATATTCAGAGACTATGCGTTTGTCAAACTTTGAGTGTCTACTGATATTCTATAGGGTTTTTGTCATTGTAATACTTTTAAATGAAAACATGCCTCATGTGGCAACTAAGAGCCTCTATCTTCATACTTTTGCCACTCAAAATGATTACATAGCTTGTTTTCACTGACACAAATGTAAACAATATTGAAAGAAATATATAACACACATTGGTGGAATAGATGCCTGCCCATGAGCCTGTGACATTAACATTCAAAATTAACATTAAGGTGTTCGGTAAGATAAATACGTTCTTCACTGGTCCCTCGGGGCCCATGGGTTGATGCACCCTCGATGTTTGCTGTACACTGTACATCAGCCCATGCCCCCTTCGTGACCAGTGAACAACTTATATTGTTTGAGTGACTGTAACACTGCACATTGATTAGTTGTAATTTCTGTTTAACCTGTCACAGCTGTGTTACACAAGTAATATTGACTACCCATGAAATTCAAAACCTCCTAATAACTTGCTAGCTAGCACACTAAGTCAGCACTACTTAGTAACTGTGTCGCATGTGGTGGCAAAAGTACCAGCTATTTCATCCTCATCAGCATTCTCTTCCCACAGAGGTTACTTGTCATCTTCCTACGAACCTCTGTTCTAATACGGCCATATTTCCTGGTTCTCAAAAATCCCTTAGTGGCAAAATATCACAACACGAATTATCTCCCTTCTTCCTGTCCAATCAGAAGAAGGGCGGTGGGGTAGCCTAATGGTTAAAGCGTTGGCTCGTCACGCCGAAGACCCGGGTTCGAATCCCCACATGGGTACAATGTGTGAAGCCCATTTCTGGTGTCCCCAGCCATGATGTTGCTGGAATATTGCTAAAAGCGGCGTAAAACCAACCTCAATCAGTCAGTCAGTCCAATCAGAACATGTGTCACATCGACTTAGATCCAACTTGACTAATGCAAGCAAATGTGGGGCCACAAATATCCCTCTTCTGTCGGGGACATGTGTTGATGTTACACACAAGACATTTATTGGCTAGCTTGTCCGTTGTCAACGAGGGCGATGGAGACACCATTGATTGACCATTTACATGACTGAGTTCTGTCTAGTAGAAACGTTTGCACATCGCACAGGGGAAAAGGTTCTAGTTTTTTCCAAAACATATGGAAATTACTGAGGCCTTGCGAATGATCACTTTTGAAACAACGTCGCTGATTGCACAACTAAATCTGATTGCAACCAATCACGAATCCTGAACACTCGCACCATGAAAGGGCCGTATTAGAACAGAGGTTCATAGGAAGATATGACAAGTAATCTCTGTGGGAAGAGAATGCCTCGTCAGGGAATTTTGAGCGGCCGTAACCGTTGTAACATACATAATGTTAAGTCATTCAAACGCTAATGGGAAATTACCTGGCTTTTATGCAACACAGAAATATACGTCAAATACGCAGAAATGTGTTGACTGGATACAGGAAAATATGTTTGGCGTCCACATTAATATTCCACCGAAGAGTCGGGAGACATATTGTTTTTGGTTGAGTTTCCGTTGGCGTTGGCGTCAACGTTCCCATTGTTGCCGGAACATAACTCTAAAACTACTTGATCAATCTTCACCAAATTTAGTATACTGCCTCTCCCTATCATGTGGATGTGCCTTTTGGGGGTTTGAGGTTTTTTTCAATTTTATTTTTTTCTGTTTTCATGGCAACAGTTTGGACTTTGTCTTTTTGAAGGGTTGGGTTTGTGTTCGGAGCATAACTCTCACTCCACCCATCTTCACACAACTTTGAGTTATTGATTTGTTGATAAGCAATTACCAGTAAGATCAATTGAATATAAAAATATTAAATGAAGACTTTACAAACATAATAACATGCTATCAATAATATGTATTTTCATACTTAGAGATTTTGAAAGAATCAAATGAATTGTTTGAGGTCTCAACGTTGAATTGGGGGAAGGGGGAGACATCTATTTTTACGAGTACTTTCTAGTTTTTATGCAAGTACACTGTGCAGCATGAATTTTCATAGAGACTCTCTCGGCAGCGCAGCCTGTTCTCTTTGCTGTTTGTTTGAATTAGGCTTGACGGAGTCAGTGTTTGCCCTAGGTATAAAAATTTAGGAGTCATCATGACTCCCTCGTGTCATGAGAGGGAGTCATGGAAATGTTTGAGTCAACTTCAGTTTGGAACTTTCATCAAGACATCAACTGTGATTGTTTAATAACGACAAAAAACAAGGTGAGGCAGGTCAGGTATTTAATGGGCAGTTAACTAGCAAATATTTAGTTTTAGAGGTTTAGATTATCTAAGAGCCCAGTAGCATTGCTTCAACAAAGATGCATGCTTCTAAATTTACTGCGTATTTGAGATAATTTGTGCATCAAATATGCAGGTTTTCTGCGTAATGGCAAACGCTGCAAAGTACATCATGGGTACACTTCATGGAAGTCTTTGTTTAAAACTCCTCTGGTTTTCTGAGAGGATCACGTTAATATCAAACACAATGGTTTTAAGTGTCCGCTCGTCATGCTGAAGCCCTGTGTTCGATTCCCCACATGGGTACAATATGTGAAGCCCATGTTTCATGTCCCCAGCCGTGATATTAGTGTTGGGAATTGGTTGGAATCTCACAATTGATAATTGGTTCCTTACCAGCGAGCATTCCTCGAAAAAAATTGGTTAGCGTCATTTTACAGATTTTCCTATTCAGGTTGTTATTGCAGATAAGTACAACGTGGTCATCTGTTGTGTTTTGCTTTATTTAGAAACTGTGCACATTGTATTTGCAAATTTCAGATCAAATTTATAAGGATGCAACTTGCTACTTTAAAGTGATGACTAATATATCATGAACATACACTTCCTGGAGTCTTCAAGAAATATTCAGACATGACTTTTCAGTAAGTGAAGTGATTTTCTAAGAATTAAACACGTTTAAATGTGATCCATTGCTTGGTCGTTCGATCACTGCGACCAATCTTCGATTGTTTCAATTAATTGGAACACCACACTACGTGATATTGCTGGAATACTGCTAAAAGTGATGTACAACCACACTACGTGATATTGCTGGAATACTGCTAAAAGTGGTGTACAACCACACTACGTGGTATTGCTGGTATACTGCTAAAAGTGGTGTACAACCACACTACGTGATATTGCTGGAATACTGCTAAAAGTGGTGTACAACCAGACTACGTGATATTGCTGGAATACTGCTAAAAGTGGTGTACAACCACACTACGTGATATTGCTGGAATACTGCTAAAAGTGGTGTACAACCACACTACGTGATATTGCTGGAATATTGCTAAAAGTGGTGTACAACCACACACACTCACTGTTTCATATCAGGGGAGACAACTCCCTATGGCTTAGTGCCCTGTTGACAAGATTGAAAAGCTGGGACAGGTAATTTGTGTTCTTGGTCAGTGGGTTCAGAATAATTCCCAGTAGCCACAAAACAAATAATTAATACCATGTAAGATATTGTTTTATTTATTGAACAAACTTTATGATTATAGGTATATTTTTACTTTTTGTTCACATAAAAAAAAAATGCTCCTGACAACATTTAACTGTTTAAAAGTTTAAAATGAAATGCATAGGTTACCGTATGTGAACAATTTCGAACATTTTGACATATGTATTTGGCCATGTCAAAAGTCCATAAAAATGATAAACCTTGCTGTCATGCCTAATGCAATATCTGATAGTTTTCATACGAATATTTCAAATTTTCGACAACTCTAAAACAATGACAAGTGTACCAAGAGTGCACTTGTCATTCCTCTGTCCTCCTAGTTCATCTGACCGCCACCATATAGCTGGAATATTGCTGAATGTGGTGTAAAACTCAACACACTCACTCACTCCTAGTTCATCTGACCGCCACCATATAGCTGGAATATTGCTGAGTGTGGCATAAAACTCAACACACTCACTCACTCCTAGTTCATCTGACCGCCACCATATAGCTGGAATATTGCTGAGTGTGGCATAAAACTCAACGCACTCACTCACTCCTAGTTCATCTGACCGCCACCATATAGCTGGAATATTGCTGAGTGTGGCATAAAACTCAACACACTCACTCACTCCTAGTTCATCTGACCGCCACCATATAGCTGGAATATTGCTGAGTGTGGCATAAAACTCAACACACTCACTCACTCCTAGTTCATCTGACCGCCACCATATAGCTGGAATATTGCTGAGTGTGGCATAAAACTCAACACACTCACTCACTCCTAGTTCATCTGACCGCCACCATATAGCTGGAATATTGCTGAGTGTGGCATAAAACTCAACACACTCACTCACTCCTAGTTCATCTGACCGCCACCATATAGCTGGAATATTGCTGAGTGTGGCATAAAACTCAACACACTCACTCACTCCTAGTTCATCTAATTCTAATCATACCCATCATGTATTGTTTTAAACGGTGGACTTCTAGTTTACATTTTCTGTTTCAGGA